TCATTGACTGAATATTAATATGGACAGCGTGTCTCCATCTACTTCTACTCTCTGAAAAGTGAAGCCAATATGATGTGTGTCGGCATATTGCATCGTAATGTGCAGACGCGATCTGACTGAAGCTAGCAGAGCTGTCAATCATGACCATATATCCCCTCTTTCAATGTTAAATTACGAATTTGAACTTGATGTTTTAAAAAATAAACGTTTTCACAAACATCAGTGAAACAAAATCGATTTTTGACGACGGGAAGCATGTTTAAAAAATTTTTGATTTTTACGCTTTGATATCTATACTGCAGCCAGTCAGCAGGGGGAGCTCTAACACTTTTGGCTTCACTGAGGGTAGCTGTTGTTCTGTCCATGATTTCATACAGTCTATGGTTTAAACTTTATTTTTGTTCTGTCAGTATTTTAATTCTTCAATCTGTTTTGTATACACTTGTGCCAGGCTATCATTTACTACATTTCCCACAATGCCTTTAGGCTAATTATTTCTAGATAAGTAATCTGTAAATTTTTTAATCTGCTACTGCTGATTTTTAATGGATTTTTTTTATGCTGGGGCCTAAATTTTTGTTTCATAGACACCATTTAAAATGACTGTAGTATAAAGGAGTATTTCTTTGTTTGACTCTTTCACGTGGGTTTTAGATTTTTCTGAATTGTTGGGTGTTTTACCAAAGAGTAAATATACCAGGACAAGGACTAGACAATGATTATACTCCTTAAAACTTAAGAAGGAGAAGATAATGTGATAGTTTAATATAAGCAACAGAAAACTAACAAGGTCAATATTATAAATATTAAGAGTCCATCATGCTAAAGAGAAAGAACTTAGGGTGAATTTTCCCCTCAATTTACGCAATCAGAGTCCAAGTTTAACGTCTTAAAATAAAAAATACGCGACAGAGAGTGTCAGGCTTAAAAACTGAATTCATTAACAACAAAAGTTATCATTTTGAGCTCACTTACATGACATTTTTACTGATATTCTTGCTTTTATAGTGGAGAAATACTTTCTCAAGCCAAATTGTTTTGTCTTTTTTACCGTAGGTCTCAGGTCTTTATTAGTCCCTCAGTTTTACGCTGTTTTTTGGTTTGTTTCTGCTTTTTAATACCCCTATAGTAGCTATTGATACATTTTAAAAAAACTATAGAACAAGTGAATGTATTCAAGAGCTATTATTAATCAATGATATTGGCTGAGAAATATGCTGAACTCTATGACTAACTCATTTGGCATGCCAATCCAGACCCACCTCACCTCCATGTTTACAGGTTACATTAGCATCAGCTGCTATCAGAGTAGTCACGACAACTGAAGGTTTGACAATCCATTCATGGGAAAAGTGAGTGCTGTCAATCATTTTGTAGAAAACCAGAAGAAATGTTCAAGGTTGAAACAGGTTGTGGTAATGATGCACACGGAAAAATATCTCCATCTTAACGTTGGAAGCAAAAACTCCTCACAGAAGCTCATGTAGTGTAGCCCACTGTACGCAGTATTTGAAAATGTAGTAGGCCTATACATACGCAGTGTGCTGAATAAATATTTATACAAGGTAACAGGTACATATGTAAATCTAACATGGCTTCAGCTAGCAGAAGATTAGTCAGCTGTTTTTTACATTTTTTGGATTTAGATCCCAGTTTCTTGGTAAGATGGACATTTTGACGCATCTGTGTGCTCACTTTAAACCGGACTATCATTGTTCTTCTTGTCTGCCAGAGTCTGGATGTGACCAATCGCGGGAGAAAGATGGTATGATTTTACTAAGTGCTTAAACTAGATGTTGTAAAAAGGCAAACCCTTGAGGGGTGAAGCCCAGAACAAATACAGCGGTAAATGGTTCGAACTCAAGTTGGACACGGATGGAGCCAACAAAATGAAACTCTATGTGGTGGCAAAAAGAGAGTGTATAAATTGTGAATAAACTTTGAAATTAAATTTGTTCATCTTGCTTTCCTTTTGTTATTGTCTGTGGGGGTTATGCAATGATAGGAACAGGACTTTTGACAGCTTAAGTCTAAAGGTCCTTTCACACCAGGACCGTTTTTATCGTGCGATTATTTCAGACGTCAATATTTTTTTTTCGAACCCGTATCCTGTCAATACAAGCGTTCACATCAGCGACGTTTTTCTGTCCTGCAATACCGAAGCATTTATTTTTTCGTATCACGGTCGGATTTTCTAAATTTTCTAAAGTTTCGCGTACTGTGTGTCCACTTCTGACCAATCAGATTGCGTGTTGTTGCGACGTCTGATTCACCGGTATATCCAGCATGGCCGACCGGCTGATTGTTTACGAGTCGGAGAACAGAGTGCTTTTTGATAATAGACACAAATATTACAAAGATAATGACCTGAAGGATAGTTTGTGTGCTTTAACAGTTTGCTAAACGTCTTTGTTTTAACTTTCATCAGTGCTAAGTAACTTTAGCTCGTAAGCTAACCTGTTCAGATAAAACATACCATATGTATTTTCACTGTCTCAAACTCAATCACAGTGTTGCTGTCACAGCACCATTAGGTCTCGGTTGTTACCTTACGTTTATGGATTATAGTTTAATGTGTTTATCTGGTACTGGCCCTGACTCAGTACATGCTATCATGACAGACAGACATCTCAACACTAGAGTCTAATCAGAACTGAAAAACAGTCAGTCTGCTGTTGTGTCAGTCTTCTCGCTTCAACCCGGGACGTGTCTTTTTTCCCCCGGAAAGTCGCAAAATCACAACTATAGTCATATAGTCGTATATAGTCAGGGTATAGTCAGGCGCATCAAAATTCACCTCCGAATATTTCGTAAATTCGCGTTGTATATTTGCATCAGTCCTGGTGTGTAAGGACCTTAATGCATATTACTTATGGATGGATTTAAGGGGTACTTATGACTAGTAAGCAAAAACAAGTAACATAATAAATATTACATATATAAGATATTATATATATAAGATAAATGATGGCCTATATAAACAGCAACATCATTTGTTTTGAAAGTCTTTAATGTGACTCACCTAAAAGAAAAACATGAAACATGAGACATACTGTTCGTGGTGTACCTTAAAGCCTCAACACACCACTGCACATTCCTATGTGGTGCTGCCACTGCTGGCCTGAACCCATTTGGTTGCATTACTGGTCAGCTATTTTCAATAGCAGATGATTATGTTCTTCCATAAGCTCTGCTCTGTGGTTTTCTCAGGCACCAAACAGTATGTGAGTGAACACCACCGAGCTGAACCACCCGCCAACTCATTCCTACTTCTAAATAAGCTCGTATAAGAGACAGATGAGAACCGAACGGGTCGAAAACAGGAGCAGCGGTTAGGAAAAACCTCCTTCAGTGTGTTTATTTGTACATCAGCTGCTGTGTAGGGATGGTGCTTTCCAGGAGTGAGTACAAGTTGTACATTACTGTATATACGCTCCATCTTTAGCTTCATGGTTACATACAATAACACAATCAGAGCAGTAACAGCATGTTCTTTAAGATGTTTTGGAGGGAGTGAAATGATGTTTACCGTCATAGTGGAAAAAACTGGTGAACAAATCATACAAAGAAACCGCAATATCCTGCTTCATTATTGAATTTTCAACTTCAGTGGCTTCCTCACTTTTTCATTTATCTGTTTATCACGTAGCTTCAAATATTCACAGCTCTTATCTTTTAAATATGGACTCTCCTTTATTTCTATTCAATTTCATTAATTTTTTCTGTCGCTTTCTTTAGTTTGACGTACTGCTTTTTAAGGGCTTTATACATCTTCATCTTCCTTTAAATAGCACAAACCGCATTTGAAAGAGCGGACTTAATGAGCACAAAAACGGCAAAATGCAGATTCTTTTTTTAACTACAAATGCTGTAAAAATGGATGCAGGTATGATTTAAAGAGTGAGAACATATTTATCTACATTATACTATAAGTTCAGCAAGGATCTCTTTTCTCATTATTATGTGGTAGAGGGAGTTGAGTGCACACTAGCAGACAGCATGTTGTGCATTAAAGAGGCTGCAACTTACATGAGACAAAGTGTGCTGGAGAATAAGCTGCAATCTCAGGGGGGAACCATCACTGTGGGGAGAGGAGAAAAAAAAACCTTTGATAAATAACTCGGCTTGTTTTATTTTCAGCAAATTACAGGAGTGCAGATTAGTTATCTTATCTCTGTGTAAGTATAACACTGTGTGTTTTTAGAGACCCTACAATTCCTTTCAGTGAATTTAGTGAAGCTAAATCTATACTGGATGTATCGACTGCTCACAGTGGGACCTTTTTCTCCAAATAGGCCTAAAAATAAGGCCACTTAAGATGTCCTATGTCCCAGTCGGCTCCAGGAATAGCCTTGACAACAGCTCACACCCCCTCCTGTTCTCTCTAAACTAGCCCACTCTGAACTTCATGTGCCATGTGTGAGCGACTTCCACTCACGTTTCCCTGTGGTTGCTCAGTCTAATTGTGTTTATGTTTGGAGGGAAATGATAGGCTGTGCTGCACGATTGTGAGCTCCAACTGGCTTTTAAAACAAGAAACAACTTGAGGGCTGCAAGAGATGCTGGTTTGCGTCGGTATATTCTCAGACATATTTGTTTTTAATTGAGCCGTGCTCAGGAAATGCAGGAAAATTATTGAAAACTATGATGTTTGCACGAGTACAAACTCCCTCGGGCAGTGTTTATGTTCCAGACTATTTGCGAGGAATTGTTCTATAAGATGCATTTGACATAATTGGGTTCTTGAGGAATTTCTTTATATGTTACAGTTCGTGCTGTTGTTATATAAGACCAGGAGGAACATAAGACCTACTGTAAACACCCCATGTTGCCCTCACTTCCTACAGACTAGTCTCCTCCTTCTTCGTACTACTTTTGTTTGGTCTCACTGCCTTTTTTTGAAAGCTGTATTTCTGCCCTCACCCAATAAATAGCAGTAGAAACTCTCCGGTCGAGCATTTCCACCTTCCACCTCTTAAACTCAACATCCTTCTGACACCATGTGCGCTAAGGCCGGTCTTCTGCTCCTGCTGCTCCTCGCCTGCTGTGTTTGGTCAGCAGAGTCTCAGGGTGAAGGAAGGAGACAAAGCATCTGGGATGAGCCCATCAAATTCAGCACCAAGAACAAAGATTTGTGCACGATGGTCGTCACCGGTCATGGGGAATACACCAGGCTGAGGCTGTCGTGTCAGAGCAACAAGCGCTCCTACTGGTGTGAATACCTGGGCAAGCCTTACACCTGCCGCTCCTACAGCAAAAACCCTCGTCACTACTTCGTCCAGATGATGTGGGGCCTCAGGAAGCTCCAGAATGCCTGCATGGGGCCGAAGCAGATTAAACCTCATATGTGCAGGAAGGCAGCAGACGAGTCTCAGATGGTTTTCTCATCTGCATCCTTCTCCCGGCAGTGGCCAGAGATCTCAACCAGAGCAAGACCAGCAGCAGCAAAACCTCAGCCTCAACCCCAGCCTCAGCCTCGATCTCAGCCTCAACCCCAGCCTCAACCTCGATCTCCTCCACAGCCCCAACCTCGACCTGCACCCACAAGGTCTGATCCGTCAAGGCATGCATCTATCCCAAGATTCTCCACAAGATTTCCGACCCAGAGGAGACCCGGTGCACAACCAACAGACCCTTCTGTTGAGAGCAATGCAAAGAGGATCGCTCGGCAGTACTGCTGGAGATCACTTCATGGAGTCTGCTCTTACGTTATTGGTCTGTTTCGGAATTAAAACCTAAGGTGAGAAAGATTGCATGGCCTCCTCATAAACACACAGCTTTAATTTTGTTGTTTTAAGTCGACTGTAGCAGAAAAAAGTGTATTTAAACCAAGTCTGCCTCCAGCATTCATTCCTAACACTCTAACTTTTTCATTCTTTCCCGAAAACTACATTAGAAATGCACATAATTTACAACTGTATATGCTTCCCCCCTCTGTATTTTCATCACAGATTTACAATTCTGATGAAGATAACTTCAGATGTCTGATTAAAGCGGCCCTGGGAGGGAAAATCCAGACCAGACATTTGTTCATCTGCAGCAGAAGAACTGTAGCGCTCTCTGCAGGCAAAGGAGTGAAACTCCTGTGACGTCCAATAAACTTTTTTCACTGAAATTATCACGCATTATCTTCCACAGAAAAACCAGGCTGCTTTAAGATGTTTGGTTCAGACTCTACCTGTCTTTATGTGTACATAAATATATAGTATATTTTTAAGGTTTTCCACTCAGAAGGCTATGAAACACGTGTATAAAATGGTCCTTTTTTTGACTTGTGCGAAGGTTCCTGCAGCTACACAAAACTTTACAGTCATCAGCCTGTCCAGGACTGGAGGGACCACATGTTTAATTTGTACAATCCTTACCTACATCATTTTATATCTTCTTCAGTATTACATTGTTGAATTTTGTTTCTTTACTTCTGTTTGTTTTTGTGAATGAATTATAAGAAAAATGTGAAAATGATTAATTGAATAAATAAACATTTTTAAAATCAGTTATTCTGAATGTGTCAGTTTTTACATGTTATTGCACACAAACTGGAGAAATCATGAACAATTTTGGTCTGTAATAATATTTAATGGAAAATGAGCTGAAATATTGTAATGGTTAAGTCTTGTACGAATTATCATTTCAGTCAGGGCGAAAATATACAATCACCTGCTGTACCACATGTGGCCTTTAGATGTCACTGTTGTGTAAACAAACTAGACATTGAAGTACAGTAAGTGTGCGTTTTCACTTCACTTATGCTTCACCCAGAGATGGTTTCGTGAATGTTTTCAAAAACTTGACAGAAAAAAGTCACTTAAGTCCTTTAAAGACAAATTATCATAAACATGTAAAGAAACAGATGACTCATGCAGGAAAGTCAAGTGTTCAAGATAAGATACAAGATTTTTTATAAGTCCAAGTTTTTAAGATTTTGCTTCTCACTACTTTTTAATGACTTTTCACTTTGTTCCTAAAAGAAAGAAAGAAAATTTATTGACATTGTCCACACAAAATCAATTTTCAATTTGGTGCAATAATTTAATTCGGTTTGTTATTATTTTAATAATTTCGATCACATTAGTAGGTGCAGAATTTTGAACTTGGTGGGACACAACAGAACAGACTTGATAAGTAATAATTGGAAAAATGTTTGACTTGGTGCATGACCACCTGAATATAAAAGTTATTTTGTTTTTGTTAACTTAAAATGAGCTTTTATTTCTAGATTGCCTCTACGGTGGCTCAGAGTGGACAAACTACGTGTTTTTGTGTTGAGTAAGTGGTTGTAGGTAATAAGAGAAGGGAGCAGTAGTTGATATGAAAAAAATGTACTGAAAAGTGATTTTTGATGGTAAAAACTTAATCAAACTTATAATGCATCTCAGGAGCTTTTTGTCCTCAAAGGCTACGGTTGTTTTACTGAAATGAGGGGTGAGCAAGAAAGTATTTTAACCAAGAATCCCACCACTTATCATCATTAAATCGTCACACTGGCTTCTTGGAGTTTTTATGTAAGATGGGATTACATTAGGTCCTGATATCTCAACAAAAATCTGTCAAATGTTTAAGAGGAAGTTTCAGGGATGACAGACAGCAGGTGGCCTGGGTTAAATACTGTATCAGATCTGCAGAGGCTGTAGTCCCCAGCAGGTGGTTTGGGTTGGAATCCAACCTGTAGCCCCTTTCCAGCATGTCTCCCCCAACTCACTCTGAGATTTTCTGCTATATCTCCTGTCCCGTCAACTCTGAATAAAAGCAGATAGATCCTAAATATCACTTTGAAGAAGTTGAAGTTATGACAAAGAGAAAGAATGAAATCAACAAAGTCCATAAAAAAGGGAATTCCATTAGTTACATTCAGTATGTAATTTGATCATTCTGTCATAATGAGTATGCAAAAGTATCTATAAGTCACAAAAATGTGGTTAAAGTAGTAGATGTTTTGCTGGCTCTTTGCATTTTTCACCTACATGTGCTCTCTGGATGCTTTAGCCCTGATAAAAAAAAATAATAATAAAAATAAACAAATGTAGGTCTTAAGTATTTTACTCTTGCATCAATCCCTTCCTTAGCATAAATAAAGCTACTCTATATTCAATTACCTTTTACCGCCTTTGCAACCCCAACGTTTCCTGAAAGAGGCTGCTCTCATAATACCCTACTGATTAGCTGCTGTAATGAACCCAATAAACTTGGTAAGCCCACTGTGTGTGTGTGTGTGTGTGTGTGTGTGTGTGTGTGTGTGTGTGTGTGTGTGTGTGTGTGTGTGTGTGTGTGTGCAGAGGGGAGGGCTGTTTCTGCAGCAGCAAAGTGGAGCTGCAGGTAAAGGGAACTCTTATCTGTCAGGCATCTGGACTTAACAGCAAAGTTTCCTCCGTGAGGTTCAGGTAAGTCAGTCTGTCACTATATTTCTGTCCAGTGATACCTGACTGTAAATCTTTCTGACAGCATTTTCAGTTCAGAGGTGTTGGTATTAAAGTGTGCTTGTAAGTTTTGCAGCTGCTTCTAACTTCAGTACTTTAATTCTAACATTAACAAAATCTATTTTCAGCATCCTTTCACATCGATAGCTTTTAAAGTACTAATCTGTAATTAAGTGCCTCATTGTTTTCCTGCTTATATCCAAATTAAGCTCTAACTTGGATGTTTCTCTGTTGTATTAGTCTCTTTTTTAACCTTCTGTTCTCTAAATGATATCATTCTCTTTGTCTGCTCTTTCCTTGCTGCTTTTAAATCAAGGATTAAAACTTTGTTTGGTTCTGCCTTTTATTCAACTTTTTATGGATTTGTGAAATTTCTAATTCCTTTGAGCTTAATTATAGAGTCTTTTTCTTTTATTCTGTTAAAATACGTGACTTCTTATCCTGATTGTGTCTTATTCACAACTTTACTTAATTCTTTCTGTCTCAGAGTTGCCTTGAAAGTTGTACTCCATTTCTCTGCTTCAAACTTGACTTTTTCTTCTCAAGTGTGGGTCTAATAAAGGATTAAAATGATTATTTTTAAGACATGAAATAAAAGGGATTTGAGGTTGGATATCTAAATCACCTTTTATCCTCTTACAGGGTGTTTTCTGGCGGTGTCATGGCTCTCCTCACTAATGTCGCCATCCTGCTGGTCTTGGCCTGTTTCTCCCATCAGCTGATGTTGAGCAGCTGTCATAAGAGTCAAGGACGCAAGGGAAAAGGAGAGGAGAGAGGACAAAACAAGGACAGGACGGGGTTAAAGATGAGCCGTCAACCTAAATCTGTCTCTGCACAGCCCGTTAAAGGAAAAGTGGTCACTAAGGATAAGTCAGAGTGCACCTGGGCAGCAACAGGTGAGGACGTCCTCATCCTCGGTGTCTCCTGCAGGAAGGAAGGGAAGAGCTTCAGCTGTGAGTACATCTCCAAACCATCTCTCTGTCCCCAGTATGCCTCCAACGTCAAACTTTACTGGAAGCAAATCACCAGGGCTCTGAAGAAGCAGAGGAATTTGTGCCAGGACAGCGCTGCGTTGGTCAGAGCGGGAATGTGCAGAAGAGCTGACAAAGAAGCTCATTTTAGACTCCGTGACACTAAGACAAAGACTGATCCGCCTCCCTCCGCACAGCCTGCACCCACAGCTGTCAAATCCTGTCAATCTGAAAACATGAAGCTGGCAGAGGAGTACTGCAACAAGTCCTGGTCCAGCGTTTGCACCTTCCTTTTCACCATGGTGCAGGATTACGACTGCTAATACAAGGAGAGTGTGAAAAACTGGAATTAAGTTGTCTCTCTGGGCAAACACCTTGATAGAAGACCTAAGTGGACATGCATTGATCAAATTCCCAGATCTGCAAGAGCACCAAAAAAGAGAAACACTGAAATAACCCGAATGAGCAAGAACTATGATCTCAATGTTATCCAAGACCTCTGTCAGCTGTTTTTAAACCAGTTATACTACAGTTACGACGTTAGCATGTAAGATGTTTTTGGAGAGGATATAAATTACATAAATTGTTCATTGCAGGGGTGAAAAGAGGGTAGATGATTGTACGTACAGCATTTCTCACTATGGTTAAAATCTGGCACACAAAGATGTTCTTTAGATGCATTTTACTTTCATATAAAACCACAACAGTCATGCATTATGGGTAGTGTGGCATTAACTGGAAAGCTCAGAGACAATGAAAATAGAAGAGTTTTGAATAGTCCCTCTCTATGCACGAAAAGTGTGCGTGCGCTGGAGTTTAGGCTGCACAACTCTGACTGCAACAGCTTGAAGACTTCCGAATGCTTCATAGTTTACTAGCATGTGTCTGCAGACCTGGAGGCTGCAGATTCAGGACCACATGTCAGGCACCAGCTGGTGCAGTGAAAGCCAAGAGTTACATTTTTAATTTTTAAACCACAAATGGTCCTAGAGATGTGGTCACAGATATTTGGTACTGGAGAATCTAGTGCTGCAGACGCATAATACTGATCACATTTTCACGCTAAGATTGTTGTAGCCACAAAGAAAAAAATTACTGTAACATCATTATTGCAATATTTATGGAAAATGTAGATGAAAAAGCAACAACTCAGTCAAACTGAGAAAAGGCAAGACGGCAAGAAGCGACAGAAATTGCTCAGAGGGATGGTTAAATCTTTCATTGACTGATTGTGATGCTTTTATTTTGACATCTTTACCGTCTTGCATTTAGGTTGCATGTTTGCATTTGCATTACATTGTTTACTGTGTTGGATAAAAACATTCTTTTATTTTGCAAATGACATAGACTATTTCCAGTAGATGGTAAGTTTTAGAAGTGAATGAAAACAGCTACAAGAACACTTTGAGGTACAAATATTTAAAGTGCTGGAGACCCCTGAGAGGCACGGGGTCTTACTTTGTTCTACACCTCACAATAAATCTTAAAACTTCAGTTTTAAAAGTGTCTGTCTATCTTTCAGAAAGATGCTACGTTGTTGTTACTTCTTCAACATGTACGGATAATTCAAAACCTTGAGGAAACAACCAAAATCACAGGAAAACAGAAAATGATGAGTATAGATACATTTTGTTTTAGGATCTCCACAAACGTCGATATTCATGTTGTTTAAACCTCTTCTTAGCGGCTTTGCTGAAAAAGTTATCTATGATCACTTAAGAGTTGTAGTAGATCGCACATCGTTTTAATACCTCTTCACACTGTGAACAGTGGTCGACTCTTGAATAAACACATATTTCATCTACCTGGAAATGTTGCTTTTTATTCTGCAGATGAGTAAAGTGACCTTCTATTGTTCTAAAGAAAGTACTTTGTATTATCCTGTGAACTCAGAGTAAACAGAGGAAGTCTGGCCCTCTCTATTATATGTGCAAAACTTCCTCTTATTTCCTCTAAAGTCAGGATGCCTAATGTTAGACTGAAGTCAATATCCTGCATTCTGAAAATCCCACAAAAACTCCCATTCTCCTCCTTAAATGAAGAGATTTGCTGCACTTTCTATAATTATAAAGCAATTAACTAACTCTGGTGTCTTCTCTCATCATATGGCCCCTAAGCATGATTAACTCTCTTGTCTCTCCAAAAACAATTAATTTGTTAAAGCCTTTCTCTAACATGCCCAAAAGTGCATTCAGAGCCCCGCTCAGGGTATTTTCTGGGAGATTAGGATTTTCAGCGTGCTGGATATTGACACAGTAATTTAATCAGAGCAAGTGTGATTTTTAGAGGTCTTGCTCTGCATACTTTGGCACTGACAAGCCTCTGTATCCACAATCTCTGTGTGAAAACATTTAAACATTACATGCCGAACTTGCGGAATCAAAGTCAAAGAGCAGCAGGGTCTTGTTCAATACCTGATAAAACTAACAGTGAAAATATTTGGCCAATTATAGTGGAGGTTAATACAACATGTTTCTCCTTCATAGCACGGTTATTTAATCTCTCCACTTTGTTTCACCGTCAGAATGTAAATGTGTATAATGTCCACATATTGGCTGAAACTATGAAAATTGGCAGTGGGCCACATAGTTTTTTATTTTATTGTTATTATTATTATTTTCTTTGTTTGAAATTCAACTTCATGAAAGGGATATTACGACGTAAGTTTAAGCCATGGTCAAATACACCCCCTCGAGAGATGAATTTTGCCGACCGCTTGCTTCTCTAGTTATACCAATATCAGCAAAGACTTAAAGATAGCAATACACAGCGGTCTATGTCTCCACGCGCAAACCTCAAGCAAAATGCCACTCTATAGTCACAAATAATGCTCAGAACAGCATCTAACTTCATCAACAGTACATATAGGGTCCCATCCATAGTACTAGCCTCCAAACATCTTTTTAGCTTTGCCTAATTTCTTTAGTAAAGAGACTAAACACAACTCACCCACTCTCCTCCAGCAGCCGCTTGTTTGTGGGGGAAGCCCTGACGAGTCGATCACCGAGTGCAGCGGAGTTTCGCAGCTAAAGGAAGAACATTTATGGAATTCATGGAAATGCAATCAGACCAAGACGCTAAGGCAGAAGAACTACGGCGTCTGCAGTGCACATACAAGATACACAAGAACTCTGATTGCAAACTTATGCCGGAACATCCCTTTAAGGTCCTACATCATTTTTAATCATTAGCATTAACTACAAACAAAATAAATGTTACGTTTTCAAAATAAAAATACAAGCTCCTATGTCATAACTCCAAGCTCCACCCCCTGTAGCCCTGCTATACAGGCCACACCCGGAAAAGTAGAGCAGACTATCGCGGAACAAGCGTGTATATTAGCGGATTGCAATGCTCGTAAGAAAGTTTATTGTGATATTAACTTTCTTCATGTCCCTGAAGACAATAAGTCTGGGAACTGAATAGTTCCTATGTTACCTGCTTCTTCTACTACACCAGCTGTGGCCCGAACAAAAAATAGAATTATTGCGATCAGCTGCGGAGTGCGGGGATCCGCAGCGGAATGGAAAGAAGCCGGTGGAAATTGACGCATCAACTTGAATGGTTACGATCAGCTATGATCGGCGGATATGCATCCTGTACGGATATGGCCTTTTCGTAGCCGTTCCGGATGCGGTGGAAATTGGGGGTTAGGCTGCAAGTTAGCGTAAAGAGCGGCGCCGTCTCCACCCACGACTCAGAGGTGAATCGCTAATGAGCTACTGGAGGTCTGCAGAGGAAAAGCCCTCAAAAATGACACAGTTAACGTGATTTTGGCTTAAAACTTCCTAATCACAATTTAAAGACCACTGATAACACTTTAAATAGTAAAAATAAATAAACGACCAGAGTGGGACTTTGACGACTCGCACATTTGCATTTTCCTAAATCATCAGAGCAAACAGCAAGTGTCAGAAAGATTCAGCAGGCACTCAGAGGGTTTTGTGTAAGAGGCAGACACGAGTTCCCTCTGACACTCAGAGCTTTGCAGCCTAAGGCCACGCTGTGATTTCAGACAGGGGAGCATCTCATTTTCCCTCATGCTTTCAGCTTCATCTCCTGCTGTAACATAATCTGTTCTCAACACTGAAATCCATCAAATTCAAACACTCAGCAGGTTGCATTCTGGGCCATGTAGGAAATCCTTCAGCAGCAGACGAGACCAACAGATGTAATGTGGCTGCAGCAAAAAGAAAATTAGAGGGCAGGCGCAAATAACTGCAGGGATGCTGCGAATATAGAAAAACACTTAGGGAGGAGTTGTCCTTCAAGCAAGATCTTTAAACTCCAGCTGCTGAGAAAAAATGAGACTCCAGGACGGCTCGGGACATGCAGGGCAAAACACAGCCTGAAGAAAACACTGAAAGAAATCACATGACCAAGCTACACCTCTGAATACTCTTCATTAAAACAACCTGAGGATGAAATTATGCTTCAAAACCATCTGATGAGAGAAGATAGAGCGCGTTATCGAAGATGTTTGAAACTTGCACCAAAGAAGTTTAAACACAGTATCTACCTTAACCCTGACACCTTTAATCGAACACCTAAATGACCCCAAACTGCTCCATTCGGCCCCTTTTGAATAACATAATACCAATAAAATGACATGAAATAAACCGCTGCCCAACTCCACATCGACTCAGGCTGTATGTCAGTGAGCGAACTGTAAAGGGTCAGTCATGCATTATCCTGCCGGAGCACACATCGGATAACAGTATCCAGAGAATCAATGTGGTATTTTGTTTGCTGCTCTGTGATTCATCTTGTTAATGGTTTCCTGGAAGCAGAGGGCACCCCAGTCCCTGTATTCAGCTCAATTAAATTCACAGTCTTCATTACATCCAAAGACATGATGCAGGAGCAGGTGCAGCTATCTGAGGCAAAGAAACAGAAAGAGAACACCTACAGCTGAAGAAATCTTGTTTTCAGTCACTTTGTTTTTAAATAATTGATGGACTTGTAATGAGTTAGTGAGACCCGATAATTTCCTCGGGGATGGAGGTGAACCTTTAAATCAACACCAAAGAAACTTCAACATAAACAGACCTACAGAAAAAAAGGACAACAGCTGGAGGGTTCGCCTCTTTCCATGATCCAAATGTTGGTCAAAACTTGCAATTTGTAGCAGCTAAAATTTCTCGCTTGGAGGTAATATGTCATTGCACACGCAGAAAAACTTTTAATAATCTGAAAATTTCAGGGTAAGATAAGAATTTCACCCGGGCTTTTCCTTCAAGAACCGAGTAAAATAAGTCAGAGTGAGCCAATGTGAAACGCAGCTGAAATTATTCAGTCTAATTCGCTGTGAATGGGTGCATGTGGAGGTGATGAAGTGCAATGAGTGCAGACCCAGAGGGTGCAACATGTTACAGGCTGAATAAAAGCGTTAAAGGTTTAAGAAGGAGAATCCTTTTCAAGATGAGAACGGTGAAGAAGATTCCTGCACGTCTTTCTTGCACTGAAATTAATGCAAAAAAACTGCTGAGACTGATCCACTGTGTGTGAACAAGCCACATAAGAATATTTTTGCATGGCATTTCCTGGAGGTTTTTGTGAGTGCATGAGTGAAAGAGGCTATAGAGACTGTTGTAGGGAGTGAAGGATTGAAAAAGGCAGCCAATAGCGGGCAAAACTGACCTCTTTTGAGTCTGCCCAGTCACCTAAAATCTTTGTCTATTCATGTAATTATTTTGGCATTACCACTGACTGAATGAAAAAGGTAAATTTGATGAGCTGGGAAAATCTACTTTCTAACCAACTCTTGTATGACAAGCTAGTTTGGCCAAAACCTGACATGTGATATCATCCAAAGTTGTAGTTTTGCTTTCCATGCAACCACCGGCTGAAACTGGTCATTGACCCCTGAAACGTGGCTTTCCTCTTGCTTAAAAGAGTCACAATGAACTTCTTTAAGTGCAAATATATCGTGATTTATTCAGTTGTCAAATTTTGACTTAATTCATGGAGAAAGTACTCTTGGATATATTAGAAATGTAATACTTGTAGAAGACATTGAATAATTTGCTAAATGAGTTTCTGGTCATTAGTGTTGGCTGATTTTTCATTTTTCTCTTTTTCGCTGCTTCAGATCTCTTCATACGGTGGTTTTATGGGCCAAGCTAAAGCATCTTTGAGTTGGCTGTGAACTTAGAAGTGGCCTGACTGTATGTGGCGCCTGATTGGCTGAGAAATGTGGGCCTTGGTCAAAGTGAAACAGAGAGATTTGGCTGAGTGCATGTCTTGTGTGTTTAAAAACTAGGCTTACATGCTCCTATGAAAGCCTTTGTAAGTGTGTGAATGGGAATTTGCCTCATAAAGAGCTTTGCTGGAGTTACAAAGGACTAGAGAGATTTAATGAAACACCACAAATATTACATTGTTTGCCTGAAATGAGACCGTTAAGTAGTGCAGCCAAGAAATCAGCAGCATGAGGACTCTGACTGTGACATATATTTTGGTAAGGAGGTTATACAACTATACCGCACTGTGGAAAGATAATACATCCTCCTCTTTTTTTTTCAATTTGAGAATGATTGGAGACAGTGAAGGCTGGTTTGCATCATCTTCCTGTGGTGGAAATGAGCATCATGGAAGGAGCACTGGTGATTTATGAGCATATAAGCACTGAGTCATTCATACTGATTAAAACTGTGTCAGCCAAGCAAACTGAAGGCGCATTACAGGACTGATGAACACTTCAGATTGTTCCCGTTTCACATCCTGAAGTTTATGAAAGCAGAACTAAATCATGAAGTGCTTGACTTTATTGTGGAGGAATATTCTTCTGTTCTTCAGCTTGAATCAAATGAACCTACTTTTGTTGTTTTTTTTAGGGTCTGTTTTTGGAAGTACAACGCCTTCTGCAGGTTTCAATAAACACTTCATAAACTGAACTAAGCCCTGATTAACTCTCTTATCCAGGAACCTCTGAAATACAGTGTGCCCAGTAAGGCACAGCATTAAAACTGGAAGGCCTCGACTCAGCAGGTTTTCTTCCTTTGAATTAGAGGGCTGCTATCGGCAGTCAGCAGCTGTCAGTGCCACCCTGTACTGTTCCATATAAAGGGAAAGAAGCTAAATATACACCTTGAATAAAAACTTCCTACTTCTATCCTAGAAGTTTTGGTCGAAGAGTTTCTTTTTCTTCAAATCAGTGTTGTTTGTTGTTAGAAGAGTCTCTGGAAGCTTTTTAAAGTGTCAGTATCTTTTTGAAGACTGTTTTTTCACATTTTTGGGTTTCATTGTAGTTAAAGATGCAGACTGATATAAGAGAGAGAAGAGACAGTATGCAGCAGAGGCTCAGTGCTGTAACTAGACTCTAGGAGATACAATCAGGGCCAATGGCTGTGTGTTATTATGAACAACGCAGTTACAGCTCTACCCATGGTGAGATATAAAGCTAAAGTACCGCCTCGATGGGTCCTGTTATACTGCGCTGGCAAAGCCAAAGCCTGGCTAGTCAAATCTGACGACATTGCTCTTCAGCTAACCAAAACTTTCATTTAACTTGCTGGTCAAGTGTGAAAGTCTCTCAAGTCAGTGAAGTCTACAGCTTAACAGACTTTTGTATTAATCTGAAATCAAAAATGTCACATCACCGCTTTTAAAAACAAATTTACCCAAACTGAACATTTCAGAAAACTGGACATGATTAAGTCAGGACCATTGTCATCAAAGAGGATGAATAATTCTCATGTGAGAAGTTAGATTTGGAAGTATGGCTGTTTAGAGAGCAGCGGCACTTTGTTCAACTGTAGTACGATAAGACATGACACAGAGCTTTTTTGAGTACATATCATATATCTACTTTCTAGTTTGACTCATAATCCTTTAATTAGAGAAAGTGGACTTTCAGATCTATACCGCAACCAGCCACCAGGGGGACCTGCGAAAACTTTGGCTTCACCTTGGATAGCTGTTATTCTGTCTGTTCAAAAAGTTTTGTTGGTTTGTTTTTCTTATAAAGTTTGTGTATTTGCGACGATTTTATTCATAACTAATCTGTCTCATCTTTTAAGCTTTTTTTTTATTTTAAATTTTGATATAGATGAATTTATTAACATAATTTAAGAATTCAATGTCTGTTATCTATTTGAAAAAGCAGGGGGATATTGCGCCACACATGCCCTTTGCAGCTACGATAAGTCAGTATTACTCTGCTACAGCAAAATTAGTCTTAACATTAATAATTAACATAAAACATTTAATTTAACCACAATAAAGTGTGATAATCCTGCTCATATGGAGCCACGTCATTCTGTTCCTCGAACATACATAACACAGGAGCTGAACTGTAATAAAACGTTCAGACAGCACCTGTGGCTCTTCACCTGAGTGACTGTAAGTACAGAGTGAAGATGACATCCATCTGAGTTATTTTTGGAATGAATCTAAATGAAAACATGTCTGTGAAGAGAGCATGTGCCTCTATGGAGGAGCACGCCACGACATGCTAACATTTTTCCAACATGAACCTTCAGGTGGTTTTTGAACACGCTGTCTGGCAGACAGAGTTTAATAAATATGGGGAGAGACTTCAGAACCACAGAGACGTCTGTGAATGTTCACTCAAGGCTGTTTTCTTACACACTAAACTATGTGACTGTCAGGAGAAACTGATGAAACTAAACTCTGATTTATACTCCTTACTGAGAGAGCAAGGCAGGTAAATCAGCTCCCTGTTTCACCCAATGTTTCCTATCTGGAGTTCAGTCATTACATTATAATTCATAGGGATCCATATCATTAAAATAAAATATATTAAGTTACGTCTTATAATCTCGTGTTATAATTTTTTGACCAAGCAACATGTATAACAAACAGCTGTACAAGAAAGCAAAATCCATCCTGTCTGACTGTTCCCATCCTCTACATGATCAGTTTCAGTTCCTTCCATCTGGCTCATTAATCAGAGTTCCTCTTGCTAAAACTAACAGATGTAAACATTCCCTCATACCTTCTGCCATCTCCCTCCTCAGTTCATGGAGGAATAGTCGGCTGTTTTTGGTATTTTGATTGACTGTATTTTCAATTAGATGTTTTTTCTGGTCATGTTGATTTTGATTATTGTGCTTAAGTGATTTTTATACCCCCTTTGCTGCACAACCAATTGCTACCATCGGGGGGGTTATTGATTGATTGATTGATTGATGGTTTTCTTTTTTTTTTAAATTCCAGAAGATTTTTTAGCTCCTCTTCGGGTTGTAATGTCCCTTCAAAACAAATGTGATGTGATCAGATGGGCTAAATTATGGACATCCATCAGGAAAAAAAGGATAAAAAATTACAAAAACAAAAATTTTATTTTGAAGGGACAAACCTTTAAAATGCTCAGAAATAGTAAAGTATAGTTATAGTAAATTACTCCAAATAAGGATGATAAATTTGAACACTGAACCAACTTGAATACAGTTTCTGAGAACCAGAGAAAAGTAAATTCAGAGAGGTAGTGTTTGAGAGTTTTATATTTCAGGGCTATGTATCGAGTTATATTTAAATAAATTAGGTTTCAGCGTGAGTGAAAGCAAGACGGGAATCTGTCAGCTTGTTTCAGACTTTGCTGCCACCCTGTGGTTTAACCCGAGCACTCTGACTCCATCTCCCATCCGCCGAGCTGAAGAGCCAGATAGTTTGACAGCAGGTCTCTTCATGCAGAAAGATGCAGCAGCGGCGGATGTCTTTATATGAGTCAACAAATGTCAAATAGTGTCCCATTACTTATTCATAATTGACAGATGCACCGCAATCCAAGTCTGGATCAGTATCCATTTGTAATTAATGAGGGCAGGAGGGCTGTCGACATGTAGAGGTTAATAATTCAGCAGCAGTATTGTGTTTTCTAAGTCGCATTTAGCACATGCTGTGGGCTTTGAAAAGACACGTTAACACTATCCTGCAAAAAATTAGACCCAAATGACTCAAACAAATCAATTAAACACTTCCAAAAACGATAGCATCTTTAATTATTCACACAATAGCCTTCAAATTAAAATCAAGCACCACTCCCATGCTGTGCTCAAGCTTTTAGGTTTGTCACATAAAGTTAAACACTCTTAAGCTGCTTTATATGCATATTATCATACGTCAAAATGACAGGAGAGTTTTTCACACTAATTCAATCGATAGCAAGCCAAAGTTAGAGAGAATCAGCAACTCTGGATCAATAAGCTCATCTCAAATGTTGCTCCGTCTCGAAGCAACGCTAGGACTCATCGTTCATTCGGTGCTGCTGAACACATCATAGAAATCATTAATCATTCCCACCACAGAGGTAGAGCAGAGCCTTCTGGTAGTCCCCACCTGTGTCCTCCTGCAAAAACAACAGATGAGTAAATATTTTATTAAACTTTAAAAAATCAGCTTTCCTTTTTCGTTTCCTGAATCGATTTTTGCAGTAAAGCAATAAATCAGTTTCTTTCATTTCTTTTCAACTTTCAGGGAAAACATGTAGTCAGTTTGTTCTTTTTTCGTCTCAGCAATAAATAACTCTAAATGTCCTACTTGTGTTTGGTATTTTTCCCAATGACACTTATACAGCACACTGTCTCTTTTCATGCATGTGGGCTGGTGAAGTGCAGGCGGGCACACAGCCTGCTCCTCCTCTCCACATGTTGTAGAGAGTTCGTCCTTGAGCGAGACAATAAACCTCTGAACCGTTGCTGTTGTCACCATCGCTCTCGACAAAATTGTTAAAGTGCCAAATTAATGTAACACAGCATTGTCAAGAATCCCAACACTCTCACCCTTTAGCTGACTTCACTGCTTTTATCAGTAAGCTCACTTACGACGCAACGAAATGAGGCCAATTCCTTCATATGAGCTGGATTCATATTACTGGAAATGATCAATAAAGTCCTGAGGAAGTCCGAAGTTAGGGTTGATCATCCTACTCTCCAATCCTGTTTTTGAGCTTTGCTTCTCCATTCCCAACAGACATTAAAACTAAATGTGTCCCGCTTTTTGAACACCGCTTGTCCTCGTTTCATTTAAACCGATCAAAATGTGCACCATGCTTGAAACACTGATTTTTCTTTATTCGTCGATGATGTGTCCATCAAATTCATTACTAAGGCTGTTCCTGTTTCAGTCAATCTCTCTGAAGGCACACTTGAGGTCCCAGTGTGTTTCTGTTGCTTAGCTAGCCCAGCTTATCATTCATATAAGCTACCTGTCACACCAAAAAGGCGATCATACAGTTTATTTACATGCATTTACATTGGTTATGTGATTTTATTTTTTACTACTACACGACAAGCAATGGGCTACAATTAATTCATTGACTACTACAGGGCATCTCCCAGTTGACCTAACTGGTCACATACCAAAACAATCGTTAAACGTGTTCGCAAGAGGCTGACGGGTTGTTTGTCAAATGATGAAAACACGACAACTTTACAGATCTGTATTTTTATCCTTGTGTATGATATAACAGCTTCATTTCTTTTAACATCTCTTCTGATTCTGTCGAGGTTTTGTTTATGGTTTTCTAGCAACGCATTTACGCTAAACTAGCTCCGTAAATGCGAACAAAATGTACCCAACTTGTTTTGGTTGTTGAGTCGTCTTAAGAATACCATATTTTTCGCACTATAAGGCGCACCATCAATGAACATGTCTATTTTCATACATAAGCGCATTAAGCCAAACAAAACAGTCACCAACTCCGTGAGGCTACGGTAGCTGCAGTGCTCCGACAAGCCAAAAGGATTTTAAGTGCCCCTTATAGTGCAAAAAATACGGTATTCAATCACTGCAGTGTTGTTTACATCAATGAGAAAGCCAATTTCAAGAATGAGACACTACTAAATCAACCCTAATAACTATTACAACGGATTTATTTTGGGCAATGAAACAGATTAGTGAGCATTAGCGACTAAATTTGTGCAGCTTTTCTTTGGAGTCAACCCAACAGACACCCCCTCTAACACTGCATTCAGTTTCAAGAGAATGTAATAAAACAGAAAAAATAAACTCATTGTACTCACTTGGGAGGGGTCACATTGAATTAACTGTAAAGATTGGAATAAGGTGCTGTCACCAAGCCTTACTTTAACTTTACCCAGTGGCCATATCATTGTGGTTCCACTGTGGGAAAACCGCCTGTGGCACAGAAGGTGTTTTTTTTTTCCCCCAAAAGGCCATCATTAAAATAGGAGTGAATGTAAAAGTGTTGACAGGGCATCTCTAGCTGCACACAGGGTCAACTGACACTCTCCCATTTTTAAGGCTTCCATGGAGGTTTATTATTTCTCTCCATTTCCTTCGGTGGAGAAAAGCCACCAAAGAAACTCAAACACAAACACTATGCAGAGAGGCGAGAGGGATTAAGTCCACGGTACAGTTTCAGTGGACAAATACCCTGGAATAAAATATTAGAGGCATTACACTTTTCTAACAGAATGAATCAGACCATAAACTGTGTTAATTGGATAGAAATGGTGCCACCTTTGGGTCTGGTTTCAGGGATCTAACATGAGTTTGATGGCGTCCACACAAAAGGGACGCCTCTGTTGCTGAAAGACGAAGTTAATCTTGGAGTGCAAAAATCTGGAGTCCCTAAAGTGTCCACAGGAGGATGGTTCCTACATCCCAGGAAACCCACATTACAGCTATGTTAAAATGCCCATTTCACAACATGTGCGCACTCTGGTAGATTCATGCATTTAACAAAGTTGAAGCTGGGGTTGTATGTGCACTCCCAGTATACTGACTCTCAAATTCGGGGTCATAACACCTCTTCAAAAACTAATCAAGTGATTTTACTAAGACTGTCCATACTGTTTACTTTTATACAGTCCAAGTGGAGTTTTCCCACTTTTTGGTGTGTGTGAGGCATTTTATGAATCAGTTTAGCCACATACCAAATACCTGTAGTTCCCCACCTTAATGAAAAATATGTGTTCGTACTAATATTCAGTTTTAACTCTCCAATTTTCAGTTTTTCCTTCACTGCAACTAGTAAGAGTAAAACTAGAGACACCGAGGTGGAATCCTAAATGGACTGCAGCCATAAATTACCTTTATTATTTACATTAAATGTCATATATTGGCTTTGAATAAACCCAACGACCATGAAAAATTCAACCAAAGTCATAATAAATTCATACTTCTATAACGGAGGCTTTAATAATCTCTTTGATAAATATAGATGGACTGTAAAGAAGCATATATCCTATATTTAAGCATATTCATTAGATGTATTTCATATAATCTTTGAGTATCTACTCTCCATTGGCCATTTGGTAGCTCTACTGGATGGAAGTAACTCTTGCCTGAACATCTGGCCTCCTGAGAAAAGATCAATTCACTCCACTTTGAGCAAAAGGCAGAGAAGCAGTTTCATCAAGCTGAACCAGGCGTTCAAAGCAGATCACTAATCTCTCCATCACTGCAATGACATGAATGGTGTATAAGCAGCATGGCCAATGTACACGCAGCTGGTGCTTTTAAGCATGCGGAGACACAGATGAGTCTGTTTAGAATACCAAGCAGATAGATGTGAGGAAAATTCATCTTCAGAAGGATTGGGACATTTCCTCAAATACAATGAAGGATACAGAAACGCTGACGAGACGTGATGAATGAGTAGTACCTGGATCGTGGTGTACAGGGACGCTCCGTATTTCTTTTTGAAGCTGGCTCTGATGTCCAACATGTCCTCCTCACTTCTGGACACCATTATCCTCATCAGGGTGTCGTCATCAGTCCCGGCACGCTAAACAAAATGAATTTCCTTTGACAGCTGAAGTCAACAGTCTGCAAAATTACATTTAATTCCACTTTCCACACCAGAAAGAGAAACTTACTCTTTAAAAATGTGTCCTACAAAAATACAACTGGCTTTGTTGTAGAAGGATGCTACTTTTTCTCGTACGTACTGTGCAGACTGACTTCTGAACAATGTTTTTTTTTTTGGGGGGGGGGGGTTTATTCGGAAATTTGTCACTTTTAACGTCTTAAAGAAACTCTTTTGATCTTTCCTGCCTGAACCACAGAGCTTTGCAAAACACAAATTACCAAAAAAATTAATGCAGACTGACATTTTGTTCTGTCAGATAGAGTGATGATTCACTTGATGGTTTACCTGGTATTATCTGTAGAGTAACAAGCTGTATCAAAATGAAATCTGGTAGGAAAAATTCATTCAAAAGTCAAAACACATTAATTTATATTTTTCTGTGATCTCATCAGATTGTCAACAATGAGAGAATACAGGTTTAACTGTGTCTGAGAAATGTCTGAGAGCAAACCTGGATCCTTGGAGGGAAAAAGAAGACGTGAATTCTGCTCAAAAGTGTGAAAACTTTAAGTTTTGGTTTAGCCAGGCATTGTTTTTGTTGGTGCATCAAGTCTCATTTTGGGATTAAAACCCACGCAAAAGAAAAAAAAACACCCACAAGCAAAAATCAACACACAATTTTGAAATATGAGGAAGCTTAAAGAGCTGCAGTGGCACGCTGACACCTACCCTCATTGATTTATAAAGGCCTTCAGCGAAAAAGTCTGGCACACTCCTGACACATCTCACTGCGGAGATAAAGAGCACAAGGCCGAGGGAGGCTTCTGTGTACTACTGCATCCTTGTCAAGGTAATCTGACATCATATTAGCATTGATTTCTTCTTTCTGTCAAGTGTTTTTATAGTCTTTGTGTCATTCTTTCATGCATCTCAAAAACAAAGATTTAGAGTAGAGTATCGTCCTGATGAATCACAGGTCTTACCAACGGCGAGTAGTAAGTTTTCCAGATTCCCCGTAGTTTCTCCTTTAACGCTGTCCTCGATATCTGAGCCAGAGATCTTTTTATAGGCATCAAACACTACAGAGAACCATAAAAACACAATAAAATTGTTAATGTCCTCTTGGAGAGTGGAGCAAACCCTCCTCAGCTTTAAAAATGCTGCTACAATTGGGTCAGTAATGGTACCTTGTTGTGTCGACGGCACACATACTAAAAGAGTTAAGAGGCCTCTATAACATTATGGAGCCCCACACTTTCACATAGTTATGATACCTGAGGATGTTCATCTCACCTGTTGCCTGACGCTTGTTGTGAGCGTCTTTTGTTACCAAAAGCAGGTCATGCCATTTCCCCTCTGACCTCTCTTTGCAGCAGAGCAGATTTCGCCCTCAGGACTGCTGCTGAGTTTGTGGTTGTTGTTTATCACACGCCTACAAACTGAGGTTTTCTCTGCTTCCTCTCATACTCTCAACTTGTGGGTTAAAGCGTCGTTTTGTTTGGACAAGTTCGATCTTTCTCACACCTTTCGACTCTACCCTTCTTAAATATTGCTGTTTTGTTTTGCTGCTTCCAGGGACGTGCGTAAATTTGAAGATTTGTGAATGGACAGAATATCTCCTGTACATGAATCTGCTCATTTTAAAAGCAGTAGTGAAAAAGAGCTTCAGGGTTGACATAACAGTCTAGCAGGCATCATGGCTTTAGATGGATTTTTATGACTGTAAAACATACAGTTATTGAAACTCCTGAGTTATTCGAGGTCAAAATGTCTATAATGAGGGGAAAGTTCTCACTGTTTCGCTTCCTCGGAGAGATGATCTCACTGAATGGACAGAAGCTGAATGAAGCTCCAGATTCAGTTCAGCCTGGAAGACTGCATTTGCATTCACACTCGAGTTCTCATTTGTCCCACTCATGCATGCTCACTCACTCACTCACTCACTCACTCACTCACTCACTCACTCACTCACTCACTCTCTTCCTGCTGTCACTGAGTGATTTACATAGACTTTAGTATGCCAGTTTTGATTGAGGATTTTATGCACCCTTTTTTGTCTCTGTGCACAAAAAAAATCATATTCTGGTTTCAGAAAAAAAAACAGATTCCAGTTTTAAGAGAGCTGATATTGCTACCCTGAGAACCCTGAAAGAAAACAAGGATGCTGTAACATATATATGCCTAAACCTAGTTCCTGTCAGCTTTTGACTACCTCAGCCAAATGATGTTTCAGATGAAGAAACACATGTGCCATGAAAAAGAAACTGGATTTTGACTTTTGGAAACAAAACATATTTAAAAGGGAATTTACATTACTAATCGTGCCGAGCCTGAATCAGCCACAATGATCTAATTTTCCTCTACTGTAAAATCTGCCACAGTTGGTGTTGCGTAAGCCTAACAGGTGCTTGCAAGTAAGACGCAGTAAACCAGGATACAAGCGTTTATGACTCAACTAGAACATGAATAACCAGGTTCCTCTGTGGGCATGTTAACATCACCAGCTAATAACTGGAATACTCACGTCCGTGCAGGCGCTCATATTGTCTGAGCTGTCATGGGTGAATCAGCTGTTTCATCAGCTGGTCCATCTTTCTAATAGCATGGTGTCACTCCTTCATCGTTGGCCTATAATTTCTCGGCTCGTTTTTGGAGTATAATTGCGTCTTTGGTTCTTTCAGCCTGACAATACATGCTCCCTGCACCTCCCCACCATCGCCCCATCTTTCGCAGAATCTCCAGCCATCAAGTCATCTGGGGCTCGGCAAATCATCAGCCACCACCATCAGGATTTATTCTGCTACCGCTAAGAAGGGACATTTTTTAATCTCAAACTCTCCCCACAGAGCTCTTGTGGCTCTCCTCAGTTTGTGTGGCTTCATTTCTGGATGCCAAAACCCAACAAGTTTCCATAATCACGCTGACGGTGCCTCATACTTTATTTCTAAGTTTACCTTTGTCTCATGATGGCTTAGCTTTTCTGTTTGGATACTTACGGAAACTCATCTTTGGTTTCTTTGAAGTGTAACCTTCTTCATAACAGCTGTGGGGCATTTTTACTTGATTCATACCAAACAAAACTGACAAAAATGCACCTTCACATCGTAGAAAGTCAGCAGAGAACTGCTACTGTTTTCCCCTTCTGGGGTTGTGATCTGCTTCTAAAATCTCAGCCTGCTTTTGATTACCTCTCTGAATACAGACTGAGAGAAAGGTAAAGTTTCTCGTTGAAGAAGATGGCACTAATGCGATGTCTCTGTACACCTCAACTTTTTTACTAAAAGTCTCTCGTTACCTGTGAAAGTATCTCAAGAATAATGTCTGAAATACTGCATGTATTATCTGACTTGTAAGAGACCTTTTAAAAGCTGAATAATTTAGGTGACACAGTAAGCCTGTACATGAATGGATAGTGTCAGTATGTCGTCTCTAACCTTCTCTCTTATTCAGCATTCATACATCATATCCTTGAAACACTCTGGCATCGACAGACTCTCACTGACTCACCTTTCCTGAGATGCTCCGCGCTCCTGTTGCCAAGGATTGTGATAAATTTTTCTTCGTCTGTGCCAAACTTGCCCTCCCCGGCGGCATACAAGTCCTGCAATGGCAGATTGAACATTCACACATGCACAACGACCTTGAAGAGACATGATTCACTGAAACAAACAGGAGGAGAAGAAATCAGAGAGTGTGTAGGACCTTGTACTTTGTCAAAACTGCAAAGAAAAGTATTTTTCACTTCGTTTCTCTTTGTCAAAGTGAGGAGAATTTCAGGTCCTTCTTTTGTAAGACTTGCTGATCTTTTGTTACTGAACTTGTTGGATCATCACAGAAAAGTAATAACCCTTTTGAGTTTATTATCACCCTGAAGGTTTGCATTCTTACACTGACTTATCTTTTTACATACATCGACCCATTATAACATAATGAACACCTTTGCAAACTACCCCAACCCATTGCAACAGCTCTATCATTAACTCTACTTTAACAAAGCTTCTGCATTTACTGTTCACACGTCTGACAGGCGGTAGTTGTTCTTTAAAACTAGTTTTGAAATTGCGTGTCAATAGTGTACTGGAGTGCAATAAACTGACAGGTGTTTTTAATATTTTGTTCTCCTCTGACTGTGGTTTTTAAAATAATTTTAGAGGTGCAGTTTGACAAACTGAGGAATAAACCATAGGCAACCCTGAGATGTTTGTTAACTTGTCCCACTTTTCTGCAACTTTGCTCCAGTCTCTCCATCTTTCATCTCCTGGCACTGTTGCAGTGAGTGACATCTGGTCGCAGTCATGGAGGGAGGTACTCTGGCTTTACAGATTAGAAGCCGTACACTCTCTAAGCACATTACTGTGAGATGATCCCACTTTTTGAAAGATGTATCATAAGGAAAAACCCACCTTAAACTTGAGTCAAAGAATTGTCATGTTTGCTTTAAATGGTGTACAGTTGAATACAAAGACTCTCATGTCTGTCTGTTGCACTCAAGGCTACAGTCATTAGCCAGTAAGCTTTGAATTTAAGGGCCTGTGCCCACTTATGGCTCTCACAGCATGGGGGCTGCATGACATTGCCAATGACCTAAATTCCTCCAGCTGGACAAACTGATAATTTCAAATATGAGAGAAAATGCTGTGGTGGGAATATTAACACAGTCTCTGAGAAAGATCAGCAACAGACTGACTAATCAATACATCAAATGCAGAAACTTGCAAAAAGTATTGGTATAAGTATTTAGCTGAATTTTAACCATCATTGATATCACTATAAGTATCTGAAAAACTATTGACATTGGTCCTGATTGTCACAGTTAGTGTAGTGACCATTAAAACAACAGGATTGTGTCTCGTCATTGGCAGCTGTTCAAAACCTAGAAACTGGACTTAGAGAAAACACAAGTCTGGCTTATTAGCTAATCTCTGCCAGTAATGTCAACAAAGTTCGTATCAGAAGTCCTGTCTCATCCTGGTTTTGATTGGTTAGTGAGAAACAAGTAACAGTTGGACTATTTTCAACTAAGAGCATCAACAAAACAACAGCTGACACCAAAAAAGCTGTTAGTGGACACAGGCCCTTAAACCTTAACAGGATTTAACCGCTTACTCCTTCATTGGTTACAAAATTAGCATTAATGCAGCTCAAAGAATTCATAAGTTCTCACTATACAGTATGTTGTATGTAGGTCTATGTCTCAAAACAGACTTTGGCTATAAGTAGTTGCCAGGCAACCAGTAAAACTCCAGGGAGTTATAGGTCCTCGCAGGGAAAGAATATATTTTTGTATTTGTTGCTAATTTTGGTCAACATTATCACTTTAATCTGTTGAAAAATTATAATGACACAAGGGAGGGATGAACATCTTCTTTGCAGTGGGGGTTTCATCTTGGATAGTAGGAAGTGACCCTAAAATTGGTTGAAATGTGCCCCTATTCATAGCCATATGTTTTCCTCATGTTCTCCCATCTTACCTTGGCGTCTTTCTCGATCTTTGCCTCGTCCACTCCCTCCTCCCTGCTCCCCTTCATGGATGGACAGGTAGACAAACAGAGAGATAGGTTGACAAACAGTGAGTAAAAGTAGGTCAGTAAGGATGGAAACACGGTGAGCTCAGACCCGCTCTGAGCCTCTGTCAGCCCAGGTAACCCCTGAAGATTACATTATCTGCCTAGTGTCCCAGAAACACAAAGATAATATTTCTGCCTGTGAGCCTACAACAGTGCATCTTGCAGTACTCCCCCTCCTCTTTTCCCCCTCGTCAACACACACCCAAACCTCTCATGACTTTATAATGGCATCACCACAGGCTCTCATTATCAGTACAGGAAACACAAGCCCCCCTCTCTCTCTACCTGCAGGAGGATCACCAGTAGTTTCTGATAGTGCCCGGAGGTGTCACCGCAGATATCTTTCTCCAACTTGCTGCTGAACTCTAAGAGAAAGATGAGAAGAGGGACAGAGGATTGCTCACATTTCCAGCTTGGAAAAGTCTCTAATGGTTGCAATCGACCCTCCAGAGCCATCCTTTGCTCTGCCGGAGGATCTCCGACAGCAGAGATTTGATTAGAGGGCTAAAAGACAGCGTGGCCTTCTCTTTTTCCCAGATCAAATAAAGCGGACTTGTTGCCTTTGGCCCTCTGAGCCTGTGTCATTGCAGATTTTCCACAGAGGTTTGTAGGAGTTTAAACACTGGTATGTAATAATCATTTCAATGATTTATGCAGGCATTGAGATAGATTCTTCACTGCTACGGTTAGAAACCAAAGGCTCATACAGCATATGAACAGTGCACTTGGGAGATTGTCTTTAATTATAAACAGGGTTCATATTTATAGTTCAGAGTTGTGGTAAGCCTTTAACACATTACAGATCCTTTATTTTTTCCTCCTTCCTTGAAGATAAAACCATATTTTTTTCCCTTGTGTTGAAACTATCCGCAGCAAGTTCATTTTAGAGGTCTACAATGAATGATGCTCTCCCTAAAGAAGGCCACACTCGCTTGAAGTGCAAGAAAATTTCAAGTATTCATGTGATACTGCAATGAATCTCAAAAAGAAAGTTTCACATTTTGATGAATGCTTTACAAGAAAAAGTTAAGGTTCAGTTTTGCATTCAAATCGTCTTCTCAAACCTACCAAGGCAGACTGACTCAGGAACTAGAAAGCACCTTTGCTCAGAGTAAAAACATTATCATATTGCAGTATATCTCTGATGCACTGAACTGAAATCTGTATTTAAAACACACAGTATCATCACTTTTCTCAAGCTGCAGCATTGATCAAAGAATGACTATGTCGGTTTGTAATGATTGAAATATCCTGACAACAGTTGGGTGGATTGTCGATGTTTATTGAGGACTTTGAAGGAAAAGTTCCAGTGAGTTTGGTGAGCCTACAACTTCAAATCTAATGAAAATATTTCAATTACAGCAAAAAAGATTGCCATGATATTTGATGCAGATTGTCACATTCTTACTTTCCATTTACCACCATCATCAGGGCAACATTTGAACTGATGACCAAATATCATAGATCGTATAAAACATGGACAAAGTCTCAGTCGTTAGTTTCTAAAGCACAGTTTTTAAGCTTATAGATGGTGATTGCATGTTGGCAATACTGTCTCAACCTCAATTTTTGATCAACCTAGCAAGAGAGACAGAGATGGAGTCTAGGTGGGTCGTAAGCCAAACAACAAATTCATACACTTCATATCTTTAAAAATTGATTCATAAAACAATTCACCCACCAGACTGTGTAAAGTTAAAGATATGGGCAATTCGGGCCAAATATTTTGTACAAGCTTGTAATCATGTTTACTTTATGTTGTAATAATAAAGATGGGCTTTTTAGAATGGGAGCATATGTGGCTTTCTGGGGCTTTGCAACCAGCCCCAAGTGGACACTTGAGGAACAGCAGTTTAAGCACCTCTGCATTTGCTTGATTTCTCAAATCTTGTGGTTGCCACCTGCCAAATACCAGCAAACCTAATGGTATTTTCATCTGCTTCAGTTATACTCCATGTTTAGAGCTTGATAAGTGTAGTTATTCAGGGTTGGGGGTTTTGATTGGTTCAAAAGACACAGTGTATGGGGTAAAGAAATAGATAAAGCAGGTTTTAGGATATGGCTTCCTGTGTTTGACAGAGCTGCACTAATGAGTCTCAATCATGTTGTCTAAATGGCTCAGAAAAAGAAAAGATGACAAGGGTTAAAATACTTGGCGTTATGAAGGGTATCTCAAAATGTCTATTTCCATTTTGGGGGGACAGTCTTTGGCTGATAAAGCTTATACAGCATGTTGTTGGTTGGCATCTCAAGGTGCTACCTCTCCAAAGAAGCATGGATGTTGTCTTTTGCTGTCCTCAATATTCTTTAAAATCTATTTACTCTCTCAAAAAGGTTGTTTGGGTTAGTTTAAGTCATATTTGACCATCTTAAACGACTAAACAGCATCAGATTCACGGTGCATTTTCAAGTAAACACATCTCTCTTTCACCGCTGGAAAAGTCACCTTTCTTGTAGACTTTGACGATATCTTTAATCTGTTCTCCAGTCCTGGAGGCCAGGATCTCAATCAGCACGTCGTCATCAGTCCCGGCGCCCTGGGAAGGAAAACACAATATGTGGCTGAACCCAATATGTAGGAACAAGGCTTTGTGTGGCTGCCTGTCCTCAAAGCAATCTTATCTTTTGTTATTATGCTCATCTCATGGTTGATAAAGAGAAAAAAGCTAAAAAATGTCATAAAGAATTGGTTGACACACTAAAAAGGCGTGACATTAGAGAATAAACCCAGCCTGCTGAAGTGAATAAGCTTCAGGGTTCAGCCATACTTAAAAGAAAATGAGCTCGCTCTGCTGTAATTAACCTTCTAGTAAAATATATCTGACGTACACATCTACAATGGAGCTCTAGGTGTGATGGGAATGTTGAGGCCAAGTCTCTAATGTTTTGCCTTCACTTTGATTGACCATTTCATTTCACTCTCGTACTGCAAATGTAAATGTGATTAAATTGTAATAAGAGTAGAAAAAATCCATCTGTAGCCTATTAGAGGATTAAGAGTTTGCTGAACCTTTTTTCTCCTCAGGCAAACTTCCTTCAAACTTTATGAGCCTTCAGAGAAACATAAAGATCAGCAGAGGTATACATGCCAGACTTAAGACAAAAAGTCTGAATATCGAAGCGATAAAAGGAGATTAGCTAATGGATCTAAGCCTACAGCACCTATTATTATGTGTGCCCAGACTTTCTATAGTGTGTGAAACAACCTTATTCACATGAGTCACATTAAAGACGCGGTGAAAGAATAGAGAGGGAGAATCATTACTGTGAATAAAAGACATAATACATAATAGAAAACAGGCACCTCTGGCCTCAGATAGATTTAAAGGCAAAGTTAATAATGTATGAAAATAACACCTGATGTAGTATGATTTTCATTATGCAGGACAAGGGCTGTATTGAACATCTTGGTATTAATAATGTGATTCCAGTATTATATTTCACATTGACTTCAGCAGCAACAACATGACATTTGCACCTAACTGACTTCAATCAATAAATCTGGAATAAATTTCAATAAACCGAGGAGGTTATGATTCCTGTACTGTTCAAATCTATTGGTCTGGTTTTCAGAAGAATAGCAGACAGGTGAATGAGAGACCAAAACAGAGCCCAGTTAATTAAAACGTGGATCAGGTTCACGAACAATAGCACACATTAAAAATAACACAGTCATAAGACCAAGTTACTGAAAAAACACTGCACAATATGAAATGTGTTCATCTCTGCAACATCAAGTGGAAGAAATTTAATGAGATAAAAGACAAAAACAAAATTAGGAAAAAAATAATGAGATGATTAAAAGGTGAATGTTACTTCCTCCATGAAGCTCAGTCAGTAAGATTTGGAATATTAAACTTTGTTCTCAAACATGTCAACCAAACATACAATAAAATTGAATTACCAAAAAGGCACCTTATCTTTGTTTTCAGATGGCACTTTCTGTGTTGATTTTACTGGAGGGGCGTAATTCACATTTTCTCTACAGTAAGGGAAAAGAGGCTGCATCCTTTTAATGTTTTATAAACTGGACATGCATCTAAAAGATTCTTTGTAATGTTTTATTCACTAAAATTACATTTAGAAAACTCTGTCTTTTGCATTTACGTACCTGATGGGCACCTGTAAGGCACTTTTTTAACATTTACTAGCTGGAAAGGCTCCAAAGAGGGCACTTTTTTAAAGCTTCATACACTAGAAGGGCATCCAAATGGCTGTTTTCCACATTTAATAAACAGGAAGGGCATCTTGAGGGCTATTATTTATGTTTTATATACTGCAAAGGGCATGTAGAGGGGCATTTTATATTCTTTTAATTACTCAAGCTGTCACAGTTTAGACTCTGTGTTTATTTCTCTTATTTCTTTTCAGTGGACTGTTTTGGTTGTTATTAGTAGTAGTTGGTTTGCTGGCCTCGTGTTGCGCTTTATGTTCTTTTGGTTTCAGAGTGTGGAGGTGTGGTTACTCTGTTCTGAGGCTCTCATCAGGCACAGCTGCGAGCCATCAAGCCCCAATCAGCAGCAGCTTCACACCCCTCCTTGGCGCGCACAGCGAGCTGCCAGATTGTCTCTGCTTTTCCAGCAGCAGCTTGGCTCTCAAAACTATTGTCAAGTGAGTAATTGTTTGATTTCTTGTTTGGTCTCCTGTGGACTAATCTTGTGCTCTCCTCCATCTCTTCCAGTGCCTCCTCCTGCCAGCCTCAGTGCAAATCCACACTGTCCAGCCTTAACTCATGTAATTTGGAAGCAAGCCTCTTTGATACTTCTATCCTCCTGTGCACAAGTTCATCAGAATCAGTCGGCCAACTGGTCCCTGTTCCAAACCCCATCTTAAAACCCTACATCAATAAACCTCTTGCAAACATGTCCCTCGTCTGTATCTGGCTCATGGGTCCAACTCAAACTGGTTTGAACCCTTTCTCGGACTTTTGCAGACATGAATGCACCACTGAGGGCACCACTGGATGCACGGTGGACTTAAGACTTATCTCTTTTATTGAACACTATCTTAATAAGATGACATACTGCCAGATTTGCACTTACACCATCACCAAACTAGTATCTTGCTGCAAGGATGCACCACTTTGAATTGCAACCTTTGCACCTATTTTTTTTTATATTTTATGTTTACAGTTTCATATTTTCCTGACAATTTAATCTTATTTTATTCAAGGTGGGCAGACAGTCATAGTACTTCTGTTAAACTGCTTTTTCTTGTGTACTTATATTTCCAAGACCACTTTCCTTAAAACCCGATCTGATTCCGATGCTCCAACTTAAAGAAATTCAAAGGAAAAAGACTGACAAAACAACTCTGAAGGAATCTGGCACTTTAACAAACTCAAATCTAATTTTAAAATTAATTAGCTTGTGTCTTTGTCTTTGTTTTGGATTTATTACTTCTGAGAATTTTGATTTTCCTCATTTCAAAATGTGATTAAGAGGCTGAATCAGCTGAACACAAACAAAATGACTCACTCATTTCTTCAAATTATGAGGCCCTTAAATTTGAGACACTTATTGGATTCCTGATTTTACATGGAGGTCAAAGAACTTAACAAAACAACAGCCCACACTGATTCACTGGAAAATAACTTCCTCCTACAGCCTGTTGCAACAGCTAAATGTAACTAAAGTTGCCTCATAATAAGGTACATTTTTGCTTAAAAGTGTTAAAAGGCTACTGAACTATCCAGGGTGTACGGCGCCCCTGGCCAGTGACAGCTGGGATAGACCCCAAGGAGCACAACAACAGCATTAGGACTGAAAGCTTAGATAATAAGAGCAGCGACTGAAAAAATATGTTTATATCACAGCGGTGTGATTTGTCTGCATGATTAATTTCAAATGGAATATCAACTCGATACTGGCCCTGCTATTGGCAGACATTTGAACTTGTTGATCACAGGAGTAACTGATATCATTAATAATGCTTGAGGTCCATTTATATGGGCCAGTGCTAGGGCTCATTTATTGTGTATGCTGGCTCACAGCTCACTGGCATGGCGTTAAGAAGAGGAGGCATTCATTACTGTTATTAGTTCACTCATGTTTATTCTAGCAGGAAAAGTCTGAAGCCAAATATGTAGGTAGTTTTCCAAGGGTATGTGGGTGTTAACATGGATATAAACATACAGGAATTATATATAACCATCAGTTAATAATACAGACAATCATGTAATTCACGACCTGAAAAAGCTGATCGGTATGATTAAGGCTGAGATAAACAAACAGGCACTGGACTTATATTTTTGATCCTGTGATGAACTTTTGTTTTTTAGCAGAATTTTGTCCCCCCAATGACCCCATTTTTTTTGCTTAACAAGTGCAGGTAACTGTAGTGTGAATAAAAGTTCAAATTAAACTAATAAGTCCCATAAAAAGTCAATTCAACAGGGCAAAAAGGTCAAAAGTTCAGCTAAGTTGAAGCCCATGAACCCAAATACAACACAAAGATAAAATCTACAATATCATGGCACTTGTCTGCAGATTTGACTTTATCTTCTCCAGCAAACCCCCCTCTCTTACCTTGATAGCCTTGTGCAGTTGAGTCGCATCATATAAAGTCGGAGGGGTCATCAAGGCCACGATCAGAGTCTCAAACAGCCCACCCAGCTCCGATTTCAAAGCGCTGACCAAGTCCTGCAGGAGAAGAGATGATTAATGACGACCAACAATTAAACTGTTAAATTGTATTGAACTTAACTGTGCAGCTTTTTAAGGCTTTAACATTAAAAGGACCAGACAAATGACTTTTACAGTATTTTCACCTCATTCTTTGTCTGTATCTGCAGAACTTCAAGGTTTTTTAGTGATGTATAAAGAAAAAATGTGTGATAAAGAAAAGTTTAATCACAAACTGCATTACTGACATTTTCTGGGAAACTAAGATATCTAACCTAAAGTTTCCACTGACTGTTTTCATTTCACCGAGTTATCACTTTCTGGATTATGTTCTCAGACAACTATTTTCATGATGAATCAAAAACTGCATTTTTGTATTGAGCTGGGGACTCCTGGTAATAGTTCAGGTGGATACTCGATGTTCAAAATAGGGAACTTAACTCATCAGAGCCCCAGTTTGTATTCACTTAAAGGTCATGTAGTGAGGTCTCAGTTTTCCTGCCAGATGTTTTTCCTTTTTTTTGCAAATTCAGGAAAGATTGTGATTCATGCAGAGTCTAAATATCTCAAGTCGCAGCTTTCTTTTATCAAAAACATAAAAACCTGAGGAATCCTTTGGCCACTGTGTTTGAAAATTAATTCTTTCATGCCGTTTTATGCACAAGCGCCTTATGTTTTCTATGATGTTCAGTTTTAACTAATTATTTTTATGTTCAGAGGAGGTCTGATTGACAGCTCTCGAATCCTGTTCTTCAGATCAGAGCTTCTGTCAGTCTTTGAACCTTGAACGTCATTTGTTATGTGCATAACGTGGACGCTGGGCATAGAAATGGCGACTGGTTTGGGTGGAGAATAAAGATGACACTTGTGCTACACGCCAAAACACTTTAGGATCCTTACTTAAGATGAGCCACATTGAGCCAAGTTGCGTCATAGATTGATCAGGTGATTTGACTGCACTATTGTCCTTTCATGTGAAAATTGATTTATTGGCAAAAGTCTGTTTGCCTCTGATACGGTAGGTGGTGATGTGCCCCTTTACAGCCCACAGTAGGGCTGTCTCCTGATTGACCTCTGATCTCACATAATAATACAACCAGTCGACAAAGACACAGACAATGTTAAAGCTCTGTACCTTTCATACGTAGGTATGATACAACATACTTCAATCGAGGTTTTGTTCATTACCCAGCTCCACCTATAATGTATTTAAGAAGCTTTTACAGAGACATATAATGCAAGGGAAAGCTGAACCCATAGACTGTATATATACTATGGACAACTTGGCTCTGCCTACTGTCATTATACGAATTTGAAGCAGAATTATTTCTGGGATTTTCTCCACTTCCTGGAATTACCACTTGTGCAGCAGTATTGTACGCATTTATATTCTGTGTAATTGATTTATAAAGTTTGTCCATAGCTCCATAGGGATTGCTGGAGGAAGCTGAATTTATGACCTATACTGCAGCCTGTCACCAGAGGTTGCTGTTCTCAAAGTGGCTTCACCCAGCAAGGAGGCAGACGGCGTCTATCCTAAATATAGTCTATGGCTGAACCCCAACCATATTATCAAGGTGTGTTAGCCCGATTAAGAGAAATTTGATTTATTAAACTAGCATATTTACATGTATTTTAAAAGTCTGGTTTCAGTCGGACTAAAGTGATTGATTAATTTCTTGAACCACATGTTAATACACTGTGTGACTGCTTTAGGTTTAAGGGAAATCAGCTATTTTTTTTTTTTTTGGCCACACTGACAGGACACAATTAGCAAAAAAAAATTACACATTGCTACAAGTCAGTACGATTGATTTCAGTATAGTTGAGTATGGTTTTCTGTATAATGGCATTGCACATTTTGTGGTAGACAACAACTAAAGTATATCATTAGTCAAACAAACTAATAGAATCACCTTATGTTGGTTTTTTTCTCCCTGTATTTCTATGAACTGCATTTCTTCTTTGTTACAGAGCAAATATTGTAAAAAAACAAATCATAAAACATGTTTTATACAATGTTTTTTTATTATTATTTCAAGTACCTGCTAATTTAACAGGTAACTATTAATCACAAACAATTTCCTTTACATTGATTTTCATGTGTAATGAATCATACATCATGGCAGTGCTGACAGCATGACCTGAATCAATGAAACGGTGAGTAATGGCGTATATCTTTGTAACTGGGGCTGAGGTTTGATTTTTTTTTTAAGTTATGTGTTTGTATGTGGGTGTGGGGAGTTCTCCTCGATATACAGATAGACCACACATTCATCTACTTTACAGCTCAATTTAAGAACCTGATGGCTGAGAGACCCTCTTTTCTAGACTACATAATCATTTTCTCCTCTCACACAATAGTCTGCTGCTAGTTTCATTTCATTTCATTTGAAGCTCTTGTCATTAATTACCCTGAATCATTTTGTCAAAAGTGGCATTACATTGCAGACAGAACAGAGAGTTATTTATAAGTGTAAAAGATGCGCAGAGAAACAAGAACACAGTCTGCAGGGATTTAACATAATGTTGTTAAAATGTTAAATTCTGTCTTTATGTTCTGGCTCTGATTCTCATTAGAGAGTTTATTGCAAATGAGCAGCAAAAGGCCATCACTGTGTTTTATATCACATTATATAGCATGCTAAAGAAGTGGTAAAAGCAAAATACGCTCCTCTGTGTGCCATAGTTTTCAGAGATATTCAGAGAGCTATACTTTGAATTATCTAGTGAGTCTTTTTACGATCGAGCCCTTTCCTCCGTTTTTAGGCAGTAGTTACATTGGTCAGAATGTTGTTCGGTAACCCACACAGAAAGCAAATTAACTTGCTGCTTTCAATCCACAGGTGGTCATAAAGTAACTTGACAATGTGACAGAGCAGTTAAGTGTTAATGGGCCGGCCTTCAAAAAATAACAGCGCCAGACTCTGTGGAAACTGCGGGGAAAGTGGTCTATCCACTGCTTTTGTGACTAATTCTGTCTTGAGTGATTTGTTGAACCTTTCAAGAGAGAGTCATCTCTGTCGCCGTGATTCTTAATGACACCGAATCCTGATGTTTCAGACGACTGAGTCACCTGAAGATGCATTAATGCATCTGCTGAGGAGTGAGTGGAGAACAAAAGCAGACCAATGTAGAAAACAGGTGAAAATTAAGTGCAAATTTGAGAGTCAAAGTGCTTGATGTATATTTAAATGGCAGCTGGGATTGCTTTCCTAATAAATATGATATAATTTGATTTTTTGCACTGATGCAACGTTGTGTAAGTAGCGGTTTCTTGTTGTTGCTGCTGTAACAGGCGCTTTGGACAAGTAGTTCTCAACCTGAGAGACATCACCTGTCAAATAAATCTGAGAGGTTCAGCACACACGAGGACCTGTGTCCACTAACGGCATTTTTTTTGCACTGGCAGCACCTTTTTTTTTTTTCAAAGATAAAACCAATACAGGTCAGCGTTTTCAGAGCTCAGCATCTTAAGGGGGACTCTTGTCAGCTGTTTTTCTGTTGCAACAACTCTGTAGAAAAAAGTTTAACTTTCTGAACACCATCATGCTTGTCAGTGTTTCTTCTCCCTCAAAACTAAGAAGGGGAGGGACTTATGATGCCAGCTTCACCAACAACAAATGGCAGAAAAAATGGTCAAGTGGGTTAATTTTGACAATACTAATGAATTGTAATTGTAATGAAGTGTTAAAGAATTTAAACTTAAGTCCAAAATAAACCTTCAAAGGGGCATAAGCAGACACAACTCCATCCTTCCCAAGCATTGTATATCTCAGTAATCGACAGGATGTTGTTCCTTTTAGATTATGAAAATAAAGTTCACTGTCACTGCAATGTTTGTGAAAGAGCCATCAACAATAATTGCAGAAGAGAAGCTCTCTTATACTGAGTTGAGGGGATATTTCCACCACAAAAAAAACACTGTCAGTGGACACATACCCTAATAAGGTAGAAAAGTACTGTACAAAGATCAGCTTAACAACTCCAAATCAAAATATTGATTTACTTTCTTGTGCAGATTGTTCAGTTTTACTTTTTTTTCCCTTTAGATCCAGCCATTTAAACAAAGTTATGTGGGGAAATGTTTAAATATGTCAATCAAATAACTAACTAAGTTTGCGATTACTTTTTTTTTCACAGTGAACGTTGAAGACCATTTAAATCATCTCTATCAGTGTGGTGTATTTTATTAGCTGGTGATCCTGAATGAAAGGTGCCAACAGTCACAACTTGCCAACACTGCACACTAGCCAAATCCTGTTTCACCCTTTATTTATATCTCGGGGGTCTCAATTTACAAAATACACATGTTTTATTAGAGACGCATTTAATCCAGTTTTGAGGTTTTAAACTTCGGGAAAATGGATCAAAATTGTCGTGGTCTTCCTGTTGGACTCTTCTCTCTTTCTGCGACTAATGGAGTCGCCCTGTAATGGCCACTGGAAAAAATGCAGCTCTTCAACATCATGTTCAGTAATTATTCAGCCTGTGCTGTAAATGAATCTGCAGTTTTTAATAAATGCTAAAGCACCTGCCTTGCAAATGATATATTTGTGACTTGTCTTTTATAGGAATGAACGGGTTTGGGACTGGGAGATTAAGTACGACAGGAGGGAATTGGAAAGTGTTGAAAGATAAACTAAGTCTGTCTTGGTTTTGGTTGTTCTGTTTGATTTTTCAACAGGAGCAAATATACAGAATATTACCTTGTTCTTTGGTTTTTAAGAAAAGAAATGATGCATTTATTTTAGAAGAGGTAAAGCTCACTTCAGCTTGTATTTGTCTTTGGTGTTGCTTTACTAGTGAATAAAGAAGATGACTTGATCTGCAACCATCCATCACAGTGACAGCTGACTGTCCCAGAGGCTCGTCTCACCTTTCCATACGCCTTTTTGTACGCTGCTTTGATTTGCTGGCGTTGATCGTTGCTGCGTGCTGCCAGGAGCATGAGAATGGCATCTTCATCGGTACCTGGACCAGAAAACAAACACGAGGAAAATATGCATTGTGATGTTGAATAAAAACAGCTTATTGTATATTACATTGCATTTTTTGTTTGTTTTTAGAAGCCCACTCTCTTTGGCTTAACCTGATTTTGAATATCTGACAGCATGCAATTTACTCCTGAATGAGGAGTCGACCTAAAGAAGCTGGAGATCAGCATTTAAAAGGTTTGGGAAGACCAATGGTCAAACAATCAATACCTCATGAGGCTGAGGAAAACAAACAGGATGGAGAGCAGTGTGTGAAATTCCCTCTGAGGGATCAAAATGTGAAATTAGTCCTGGGTAATTATGGCAGAAAGCCCTCTGGACCTTCTAACGACAGCTCTCACCGAGCCTACTCTGGTTATCGTGGTTCTCCGCAAGATTGCTCTTTTTAGCTCCACATTTAATTGCCAAGAGTCTTTTTTTTCTAATTACTTTTATTGTGAAACAGACAGGAAGCGGGAGATAAAAGAGAAAAAGGTAGTGGTGGTCACTCAGGAAGGTTGTATTAAGGTTAATCATTACACCGTGTGTGGCTGTAGTACACCTTTAATTTCATGATAATCATCAGGTTCATTGATTTACACTAATGACCACAGAGGGATGTTTAGATTTCCCTTTTTGTACGCCTGCAATTAAAAGACCATTACATGAGCCAGAGAAAGGGGTCAAAGGTCAAGCTATTAAAAATAATCCAAATTAAAATGCACACCTTTCAACCCAGTGGGAGCCTCTGCTGTTCAACAGTGAATCAAGAGCAGCAGAGCAAAAAGATTACGGTACAGAGAGTTTCAACCTGAGGCTGGCTCTAAAAGCCAAAAAATTCATATTTTAAAGCAGAATTAAACATGTTCATAGCCTGGTGCTTAATGGCTTCGCTCTTTATTTAATAACTCATCCATTATGATAACATCAAGAATCAATGTTTTGCATAATTTGGTATAATTATGGACACAGCCGGTTTAAGATACTGAGAAAACTATTGCTGTAACTCCCCCAAATTGAGTCTGCATTTCTAATGTGGCATCCACCATAAACCCTCTTCAGAAACCAATGGGTGCTGTTAATGTGACTATACCTAAATTATTTTACAGGATATCTTTGTACGGCAAAAATCAGATCAGTATTTATTCATCCCTAACAAATATTTTCTTCATAAACTGATTTGGGGCTTTTTTTGTATACAGTTTTACCCATTTTCTTACTTCTGGGTTCAAACTCACAGCAGGATTGTGTCATTTGTTATTAAAGCTCCAAATACCTTGGCCTCCCTTCTTCTGAGTCCTGATACAACCCTCTTAGATCCTCTCTCATGAGTCCTCTGGCAGTTTCTTGATCTAATTTCAAACTTAAAGGTGACCATAATTTTTATGGCCTCTTGGCTTTGACTCTTGTGCTGGATTCTTGCATCAAATCTTACTAATATACATCCCCTTGCCTCAAATAGACATTTTGTCTTTTTACATTTCTATTATCTGTGTTTTCTCTCGCCTTTTCTATTCAGTATATCTGCCATAGTTTGTACATTGAATCCCTTATGAATGGTCAACTACGACTGTTTTTAGATCTACTAGTACACTTCGAGTAAATGTTAAATATTGATTCACTTGTGGTAGCAGGTGCTGCTACATGTGTTGATAAATATAAGCCTGATTTAAATCATGTTTATCTGGTTGGATGTGTGTGTTTGTGTGTGTGTGGCTTATATTCACTCGACTATCACACTGACATTTGCTGATGACACGGAGGCACAAAGCAAAAAGCATGATCTAAAATTCAAGCTGTCTGATATTAAAATTGCTGAAGAAAACTCTGGAGAAGCAGCTGCAACTTGTTATTTGGTTGATCCAAAAAGAGACAGAGAAAAGTGAAAAAATTAAATCTGATCTGCTGCTTCTTTCCAAGCTTGATGACAGAAAGGCCAGGCTGCCCGCTGTTGAGGGAAAGAAAGCTAATGATGGGAAAGAGCTCAAAGTACGCAAGTGGATATCAGCATCTCAAGATGTCCTGCGAAAGCATCAGGTTGTGAGCAAAGGAAATCTATCAAGCTTGATAGATTTCTTCTCTGCAACCATTTTTCCTGTTAGAGGACGCACATCCAACAGCATCGCCCATAAAGACACCAGACTCTTAATAAATAATAAGATAAACTATAAGATTATCTTCTCTGGGCTTGGCTGTGAGATACTTTTTGAGAAAGTAATAAACGGGCCATCTCTCCCAAATGAAGGCAGGGTGAGTTCTCTCCCTAACATTAATAAAAAAAAAAACACTATTTAAAGTTTTATGGCACTTCATAAATTAATTTGACTCAGCTTGACTTGATTTAGTTCATCCACATTCCCTTAAAGGTGGGGTAGGCAGGAATCCGTTACAGAAGCATCTTTTTTTGCGGTGTATATACAAAAAGCTTTTAATATCAGTCAATAGCTATTAGTTATTGATGAAATTTGGTAATATAACAATATCACTGTTTTTTGTTATGTCTGTGTAGTCACAATTTAAATTTTTTGTGCGGCCCGCTCTTTCTGACTGTAAACAAAGCCATTCTCTGCCTCCCCCGACCGGATTGGTTGTGAGGCAGACGCTGCTCCCCCGTGTCGTTCAGGAGCCCAAACAAAGTTAGCGCGCTACAATATCGGACAGTAGAAACCAACCAGAAAGTTCGGAAAATTGTCTGAATCCTCCTTTAGCCACAACTTCCAACACAAGCAAGAAAATGAACTAAATACCAGAGACTCTGGTGGAATAACGGGCGCTTAAAAAGGAGGTGGACCAGACAAGAGCTAAAAAAGCCGGGTAAACAATGACGGGGGACGCTTCGGGATCTTACGGACCCTGTAACCTTTCTGCTGGACAGGTAAACCTCTTTAACAAAGTAAGCCAAGTGTCTTTAACAGAAGTGTTTCTTGTCAAACGGACCTGCTGCGTGTTGTAGCGCTGCTAAACTGTTGACCTCGGGTCCTGGACTATGTCACTTTATCCTAGTTGTGGACGTCCTACAAACATTGTGTTTGCTGGTAGTCTGTTGGCATCTACAGTAGCACCAATGCTGTTTACTTTCACCTTGACTGGGCCCCATTTGTAATTATCTGAAGTATCTATCGGCATTATATCTGAATTTAATTGGAACGATACGAGCGAGCAGGAGCGCTTGTTTGTGGGCGGGGCTTGCTGGAGCAGAGAGGGAGGGGAGAGGAGGAGCTGAGGGGAAAACTGGTTGGGAGGGGTCAAGTTTACATTCAAGATTTCTCCCAAAAACTGGCACTTCCTCAGATCCTGCCTTTAACAAGTAAATAAGGCCCTACATTTAAATTGACACTGTTGGTAGTTATCTAAATCAGTGATTCCCAAAAAAAAGGTACTGCAAGTAGAGGTCCTCTATTTATATACTTAATGTACTTTATGCATTAATTTTCTTGCTTTACAATTTGCATTAAAGATTATTGATTGCACTGCATTGCTTTGGGCTAACCCAATGTAAAAATGCATGCACACTTAAAGAGAGAGGTCTGTAGGTGTATCTCTGCTGGACATGCAAATGAGGGGGTGAGACACTTCACATTTCTCACCGACTCTCTGTTCCACTGTTTTTACATTTAGAAAGCATTCCTGTGAGTGTTTTTATCATTCAGTACCATGTTTGTTTTGTTTATTTTGATATGCTGTCATTAAAAACAAGCCATGCCCAGATGCACAGGAGGGAATACATAATCATTTATGTGGGAAGAGACGGTGACCCCGCAGCTGGCCAAATGGCACAGGAAGAAGAGCGGCAGGCGACAGCGCCAAACCAGAAAACAACACCTCACCTGTTCAGGATCTGAGGTTGTAAAATGATACACCAAAACCTGCTGTAAATAAAATGTAGTTATGGTTTTTAGATGATGCTCTTAAACGTCAATCTAATGCTGATCTAAACAGTAAGTTCACCTCAAAACTGGTTGAAAAAAACAAGTTTCTAACACTTTTGCTTATCATCTTCACAGCATCTTTACAACCTTGAACTAAAAGAGCAGCAGAAATTGTTCTTTGCACTGAAAATATAGTCGGAATGATGAAATCTTCCACAAACTGTCTACACTAACATATCAGTCTGTGAGTTAAATGTGGACCTCCACTACAGGCATCCACTGAAAATACTTAATCACCCACACACAATGTGCTGTGCTACTACAGGTAACCCTGAGATAAGGAAAATCCAACCAGTTAGTCCAGTCTGAAGGCTTATCAGACCCTCCACAAGACTTTGTCCTTCACTTTTAAAGTAATCTGCAGTAACAGTTTTCCTCCCTCTGGACAATTTTGACTTGAACCCTGGAGTTCAATTAAATTTACACTCAGTGCTACAAACACAATAAAGAAGCCATTTAAGTTCTTTGCTTTGCCTCTAAAAAGGTGCATCATTGGGATTTTCTATGTGTGGGCTGACGGTTTGTTATATTATCTGTTTGCCAGATCTTTACAAAATGACTCAGAGCTGTCTTTTCACAAAAATTCAACTAATACCTCAAACAGAAAGTTCAGGATGATGTTTTTTTGTTGTTGTTATTCTTTAGACTGTTTGCTAGGACTGTTTGCTAAATTTGACCCTCATCCAGTTTCAGGCAATATGTCCTCACCCTTTGTGTTTTGTATTGAATAAACTCTTGGACTATGTGGTTTCCAATGTGAAATTGTTACAATTTGATTGAGTTTCACACCAAATCAATTTGTTAGGTGAAGATAAAAAGACGGCTATTTGGCTTGAAGTGACACAGCAGCTCCAGAAGATTAATTACATAAACAAGCTGAATTCATTGTGTAAGAGCAATGTCACACAGGGAGCTGGGAAAGAACTTTTAAATGACTTTTAGTTTAACCAAAACTTCTGAGCAAAAGTCTTATATTTAAACTGACTGTATTGCTCTTTACACAGCTTTAGCCACTTAAAGGGATATTCTGGGGTAAAATTAAGTTAGGGTTAAACACACCGTAACACTGAGTTAGACACTCCCTCTCGAGATGAATGTTGTCGACCGCTTGCTTCTCTAGTTATACCAACTTTAGTGACGACCACACAATAGCAGTTCACAGCATTCTGAGGAGCCATACACAAACCTCAACCAAAACGCCACTCTATAGTTGTTGTTTGGCAGTTGTTATAACTAGAGAAGCAAGCGGTTGGCCTGAATATCCCTTTAATAACGGCATTAGTGGTCACCACATATTCAAACAGTGAAAATACCAACCTAAGTGGGTTACTGCATATTTGACAATTATGGTCAAAGTTGCATGTTTTGTAAAGGCAACGTTTTTTATATAGAAATGATATTGTAAGGCCAGAAATACCTTAACCTTTCTTCTTGATAGTGTAAAATCACAACCACAGATGTCTTTATGCATCGTGTTGAATTATGTGGTATCGTATCACATTATTATATCAGTTACTTTTTTCATATGTGACCTTTTTTGAACTTTTTCACATACACTCCCTCACACACACACACTAGATGATACACAAATGAAAGCACGCATCCACAAGTGTTTTATTCTTCTCTTATATTGTTTTAAAGATTAGATCCGTGCATACCTTCATACCTTGACCCTGTCAGCCTCCGCTATTGTTCTGGATGCATCAGCCTCTGTCAATGTGACTTGTCCCATTTGTCCTCTTTTGAGTTTCAGCTGTTCACGCTGTCCTTCAGCGCGTTTTGCGGTTAAAAACTGTCTGTCGAGCGACGAATTTCGCGAGTGTTGCACCACAATATTGCAGTCAGTGCAGAAGAGTGTACCTCCGCTTTCATGTAACACATCTGGAAATTGACTTGCACAAATTTCGGCGGTGATATTTGTTGGTAAATGTGAGCGTTTAGCGTCCCGTAAGTCTTCAGCTTCTCAGTATCAACAAGGAAGTGAGTATGATGACGTACATGTCACGTGGAGGCGTGAGCAAAGGACGGCTTATGCTGCGTTCGAGTTACCCCGGAAGTCAGAAGTCCGAGGTGAAAATGATGTCACACCCGAGTTACCAGCGTTTCAGTTACCAAGTTGGAAAAAAGCAAAATCGGTGGCAGAAACAAGATGGCTACTTATACGAAAGTTATTTTAGTGCTTGCCTTGTCTGAATACAAGGTAAGCGCTAAAATAACTTTCGTAGGTGTAGCCATCTTGTCTCAGGCCTCCAATTTAGCTTTTTCCGAAAACAGCAAAATCAAAGGCCTGAAACAAGATGGCCACATCTACGAAAATTATTTTAGCGCTCGCCTTGTCCGAATATAAGGTAAGTGCTTAAATAACTTTCATAGAAGTAGCTACGTTGTTTCTGCCCCTGATTTTCTCAACTTGGTAACTGAAACGCTGGTAACTCGGGTATAACGTCATTTTCACCTCAGACTTCTGACTTCCGAGGTAACCGAGGTCACTCGCTCCTTGCTTACAGTAATTCAGCAGCAGCATCTCACATTTACTGTACACATAAATTGAATTCATAATAGTGTTATATGTAGCATGTAAACAAATTACCGAAGCTCCACATTTACAAACAGTTAGCTGGTTCCTTGCTGCAGACTCTGATGCGCGATATCATACTGCCCCTGTTATGCCTCCATTGCCACCCTAAATGGTGGATCAGCGGTGGAATTACCTCTGCCTCCAGGTCCGACTGGGGTGCAAAGACCCTTCCTTGAAATTACTGTCCTAAGAGGGCTTTTGACTGCCTCTGTGTATATGCTAGAACTGTAAGTGCTCATTACCGTAGAGCTCATTACTTACTTACTGTATAGCTGTGACATGTCTAGAGAATATTTTCATAAAGTTTAAGTCCTGAAGTGGGTGAAACTCATTCTTTTTTAATTAGACTAAAAACACTTGGAAAGTTAAGTTATACTCCGTGCACCAGTGGATTGAACTCGTCGTCAAGAGCAACAAACAGAAAAAAACTTCCCTGACAGCTGTGTCACTGTTGGTTTTAGAGAGAAGCAAAACAAGCAATAAACTGCATGATAAAACATTGTTGATTGTACTTTTTTCGAAGCAGTCTTTTGTATTTATTTCTACTAATGATACAAACTGAATGCAACTGTGACGTGTGGGCAAATAAACCCACCCTTGCCAAAATGTTAAATGAACTGTTTTCTTTTTCATTTACAGTCTAAATACTTTCAAGCAAACCTTTTTGTGAAGTGAGAAAAATATTCCAGAGTGTATAGATTTTTGTTTTTGGGGGGTTTACTCAGCTTTTCTACAGTCATAACAGTACATAACAATGACAGCATGTTATGTGTATGTGTGTGTGTTAGAAACAGCACTGACCAATTCCTTTCATGGCTTTGTGGAGGACTTCAGCGTCATGTTTGGCGTTGAAGTTGACGAAAGGTCTCACGCTGCCTCTGTGCTCCTGTGGGAAAAGAAAAACCTTGAACAAAAGGCAAAACACAAAATAAAACATTGTATTCCTGTGTTGTCGAGGGATTTACTGCATGTTGTGGAAGGTTTTCTGGATGTAGCCTGACACTGTGGACCAGGCAGTGCATGAATCCAGATTGGCAAACACTTTCACCCAAACCTCTTGTTGTCCTTTGTCAGGAATTTAGAGACTCTTTACAGCCAGTCAGAAGCAGGACTAAGTTGCTGGTAAACACCATTAAAAGTGCATCTTTTTTACAGCTGATGTGGGGTGTCACCATATTTGACCAAAAGCTCGGGGTATCTGAAGTTGTTTAAGATTAAAGGTCGTTTCATACCAGGACCGTTTTTGTGTTGCGATTATTTCAGACATCTCTTTCATTCAACTCCTTGTGTCTTACAATCCTCTTTCCTCGAAGTTCACCCCTTCTCTTTTTCCTCCTATAGCTGTGGCAGGTCAGCCATTAACCACAAATCTAAGTTTTTGTTTTTTTTTTCTTTTTTGCTTTCCATGTAAATTAAAGGAACTATTCACTCTTTTGTCATATAACGGTCATTTTTGTCACAGTGTCAACAGGCAACTATAAAATGTTCCAGAGTTTTTATTGAGGATTGGCTTGATTTAACTTGCAGGATGAAGTTGTTGCTTCTAAACTTCTACTTCCCTGTTGAGAATAACACACTAGTGCTTCGGGGTATTGAACAATCAGAATCAAGTATTTTGGACAGCCTGATAGGATAATTATAGATGACTGGAAAGCTTCCTGGCCTCCTACCCAACACAAATGCTTCAGACATTGAAAAACAATAGTCATTGTTTTTGCTAATGGTCTTTTTGCATTTTTAGATTATTGAAAGACACATCAATACTGTTTAATGACCAGCCAAAAACCACCTATAGGAGCTTTAAATGAAGATTGAACATCTAATATTTCATCTTATCAGAAAATGAAGTCTCGACTTAACACAGGGAATGATAGAGAGATGTTGGACCTACTTCAATTAAAGGCTTTCCTTGTCATGTTTTGGTCTTTTTTGCAGATCAAATTGATTTTCTCAAAACTCCCCCAGTCTAATCAAAATAAGAAACGTCAGTAGAAACTCTTGCAGTTTCTCATTTTGGGTATGTAATGATGTTTCTGTTAATGTTTGCTGTAACCGCACCAAAAATGTAGCAGCTGGCAATCAAACACACTTCGGATTAATTGCTGCCTACCAAACTCTGGGGCAAGTACTGAACATGTCATTTCAATCAAGTCTGGCTGCTGCTTTGTGGTAATTTACAAAAACATGTTGCGCGTCACGTGGGAGATTGTTCTGCAGAGAAAATGTCATTTGAAGAAAAAGCAATAAAACATCTGCCTCAGCTGCAGCCTTGTCTCAAACTCATGCGAAGGTGGGAGTTGTAAAATAATCATGTCCTCATCCTGCTCTCAGTTATAGCTGATGCTGTTTATGATCTCTTTTGTTGTTTTCACACATAGTAGAAGCTACCCAAGGGAACGATCTTTTTCTTCTCTTAAGAGATCTGGAGGTTTTACCTTGAAGGGCTGTTGCTTTGGTTTCACGGCAATGATCCTGCCTGCCTCGTAAAAGTGAGGTTACATTTCTTTCTGCAGAAATTATAAACCTGTTTTAGACTGATAAATGTTTCCTCTTTGTTTCTAATTAATTTTTCATTACTGGAATATGAATTATTTTCATTTTATTATCTAGTGTTGTGTCCTCTATTACAAAACTCAGTATCTGTTTTCTACAAAGACCAGAATGAAAATTAAAATAAACCCTCAGAAGCCCAAAACTAAAAGAGTTTTAGGCACATTGTGGTCCAGAGAAGGAGCAAATATCCACACAAATATCAGTGAGGTTTCATAAATTGTTAGAAAATCCCCTTAAGATAAACCCCTATGACTTGGTCAATCCCTGAACTTTTATTGTGCTGCTTTCTTGAAAGTGATTGGAAATGATAGTGATATTTTTATGATGCATTTACCTTTGCAGCAAAATTAAAAATTTTTGTTGAAATTTTTTATGTTTTTGCATGAAATTCAGAAAAACACGAGTATCAGGGAAAACCATCCAAACTGAAGTTTAATGCCAAAATAAAGAAACTGAGCTTAAAGGACAGTTTATTGTGTTAACAGCTGATTAGTGCAGGAATTCAAGTTACTGTTCTAAATAGAAATATTAAGTGATATGTAGCTTTCATACTCCAGAGATTAAAATTCTCCCCTGCTCACCCCGACCATTGAATCCATCGATAAAGCTGTCATCTGCACTTCGCCTTTTGAGGTTTTGTTTATTTCTAGCAACACATCTGTGCGATTTAACTTCTGATGTGCAAACACTGGAGCGTGAGCAGAGTGCTAAGGCCACTTTCAGTCAGTCCAACTGCATTATTACCTATGTTAGCTGATTATGGGAAGTTCATTTTAGGGTAAAGTCCAGTGTAAGTCGAACTAAGGCAATAAATCCAATTTTTTAAACTTAATGTAAACGTACCGAGTGGACGAAACGTTACTAAAGGTGCAGATGGTTTTCTGTTAAATTATGATTATGATGTTGAACATCTCAGCTTAGATTAAACATTAGCTAAAATCATTTCAGCAAAATTGTGTGGAGGAATTCAAAATAATCTCAATTTTGACCCAAAGATTTTTTTATTTTTATCGTCAATAGATATCAGTCCAATCAACTAGCGATAATCAACATCGGCCCTGAAAAACAAATGTCAGTCGACTTGATTTCAGTTGAGGTTTTTGTGGTTTATGGTACCGGAGGCTCTCAGTACTTCTCTTGAACAGGATCTTAGATGCTGTTCAGGCTTATCTCAAAGGAAAGGCAGTTTTATTAACTTCTTAAGAACAGAGAGTTTCCGTTTTTAGTCAGAGCACTATCAGGATGTCATTGTCTCCCCGCTGTGTTGATGAAATTGTAACCCAGCAGGGATACAAATGACACCTACAGCTTTCATGAACGTGGTAATACAATATGGTGCAAATTAGACCAGCGTCGTCAGCTGAAACTGAGTTCTTGCCATCACTTTACTTCTTAAATCAGCTCGCCCTCATCAGACAGTCTGAAGTCCCTCTCTGAGCTGGAGAGGATAAAATCAAATCAAGGGTATCAAATGAAGCTGCTCCTTCTCTTTTAGTGCCAAAGTGAGAATAAGGTGCAAGTGAGTCTCACTAATGTTTTCCTAATGAGTGCATCTCTGCAGAAAACCCTCTCAGGAAATAAAGGCTCATCTAAAAGTCAGGATATCTGCACGCATCAAGTCTTCACAATATATACCAAATTGAAAAAAGGGTGAGGATTCAGTGGGATGAAAAAGCAATCAAATTATTGAAAATCAGGATACATTGGATGTCATGCAAATTCGGGAGCTGTGCTGACACTTCTTTGTGATGTTTATTGTTTAAAACTGATCATGCAGCGCAGGTCTCAGTGTGGTTCAAAGAGGCACTGACCTTTGAGGAGTCAAGACTCACTTCATTGAACAAACATTTCGGTTATTTCTGGTGCTGTGGCTGCAGCACATTCATCCTAAAGTTGTTTTCTAGTCTCACACACTTCAGTTTGTCATCGAACAGAATGTGAGACAAAGGAAGGAAACACTTACCATACTTTATCCTGATGGAAACAACCGCTACAACCTGAAAGAAACCGCAACACACCACAAAATTCTGATTTTAATTGACAGTGTGAGGATGTAACTGTCTAAAAAGTTGGATTGAATTGCTCAGAAGTTGTGTTAGCATCAAACCAAAGAATTACTAGTGAGTCTATCTTCTTACCAACAGATGTGTGTCTCCTGTCTCCTCTCAGGTGAGTCCGTTGCTCAGGTAGAAGCTGTCTGTTTTCTGTGGAGGCAGCAGCGTCACAGGGGAAAGAGCTGTCGAGCTGCACTTCCTCATCCACATGCAGTGTCGTGTTTCACCTGCTGTCAGTCAAACAGGAGATCACGACCTTGTGTACTCTGTTTTTTTTGTGTGTCCTGTAGAGAAGTGACAAGGGGTTAAAGTTTCTCACCTAAGTGAAGGAGAGAGGTGTCCAGAGAGGTTATGTTATACACCTCGGAAGCTATTTTCATGATGTTTCCATCCTTTCAAAACGTGTTTTTGAAATATTAAGGTACAAGAAACACAGTTTTTGTGCTGGTGGTATTCATCAGGATGTCAGCCTCTCGTATATAAACACATCATACTTGAGCCCCGGGGATGGCAGGGAAATTTTCAGATCATTTACTCACAGCTGCTGAGAAAGCCTTTTATTTTTGTTGTTCTGGAGACCTCCATGGAAAAAAAAACACAATATGTCTACGCTAATCCTGTATGTATATTTGTTGCTTCATGTACAATTTTTTCCTGTCTTTAACTGGCTAATATATTGCTCACTGTGAGTCTGTCAACAAAGGCTCTTTTGTTCTGTGCTGTTAATTATCTCATCCGAAACCAACCCTCATTAAACCACTGAAGGAGCTTCTTTTATTCCCTATAGTTCATTGGCTTCAGAGAGGTAGCAGTGATCATTTCAGTCCGATTAATCACTTCACAAAAGCCTTCTGTACATTAAACCAAAATTACCCAGCTTTCTTACTCATCACCCCTCTAAATATTTGATTCTGATAGCTGAAAAATTCCTGGCAATGCTAATTATGTCTGAATATCAACAGTGACACAAGAGACCACCTGATCACACGACACATCAAATCAGAGGAGTTACTGCACTTTTAGTATACTGTTTATAATTTAACAGATTCCTTTTGACGGGCTGATGATAATACTACTTTCAAATAACATCAGAAGGAAATATGAAAGATATTTCTGAAACTACTCTCAATTTATTTGAGTAGCATAAAAGGAGATAGGTGAAAAAGACATCAAACAAATTGAAGAAAACCATCAACTGCAGCAGGGAATGAGCTTTAGGGTGTTAAAGGATTGGATTTGGGAGGAAAAAAAATAGGATAGGACTTAAAGCTCCTGTTAGAAACTTTCAGTTTGTGTCGACTTTGGCGCCCCCTGTGGACAAAGACTGTACTTATTCTGCACTCCATACAGTGAAGCAGCACTTTCTGACAAAAAAAATCTAATTCTGCTGACTTTTGACATTCATTGTGGGTATTTTACATGTCAACTGATGAAAAAATGGGATTCTCCTTCAGCGATTTGGCTGACACCTGTCCCCTTGCAGTAAATTCAGATATCAAAAAATATAATTTAAAAATTGCCAATCTTGTTGCTAGTGGTCTTTCCTGCTTTTTTACATCATAAAAATGCACCAATATGAGTTTCAGTTGATTTCACACATTTCATAAAATCCTCACTTTCAGAAAGGTCCTGAAATCAAAGATAGTAAGTTTGTACTCTTGTCTGATACCAGTTAGGAGACACAGACCTAAGATTGACTTGTAAAATAAGAATTCAATAGGAAGACCAACCGACACGTTCATAGAGCGTGAGGTTCAGTGGACCCCTCTGTATCAAGTAAAATGAAATACAAAAACAAAGTACAAGTTAGTAAAATTTCCTCCTGAGTGATTACACAGTACTTCTATGACTGAGCCTTAATCATATTTTAATAGCAAAAGCTTAAGGTGCTTGGGAACATGAGCTCATAATAACTTCAGTGTCAATCTGTAAGAGAACTTCTGTGTTTTTTCTTTTCATTACGATCATTTTAAAATTACACAAACTTTAACATGTTTTTTTAATTAGGCGCTTTTTCCTTTTGGCCTCTATAATTCCCCCGGTGTTTCCAGCCTCACATTTCTGTGGACGACGTGTTTTCGAGCATGATTAATCTGACTTTAATGCAGTCCTGTGTTTATGTGTGTAATGGCGAACAGGAGACAAACCGGAGATGTTTATGTCTGATAGGAGGGATGAGCTCAGCAGAGCACAGAGTCAGGATGCTGCTCTCATGTCATTACGGCTCTCCTCGTCTCCTCTAACCTTAATTAAAGTGAGCACTTGTGAGGAGGCGAGGACTCCATCTTTCAGGTTATCCTGTTACGGAGGCTCGCTATTTCATCTCACACCCTCCCATGAGTGACATTTCCTCTAAGCACAAAAACAAGCAAACAAAAAACCAATAATAGCCCATCAGAATGAATAGTCACAATTAAATCATCTTTGAGCAGACATGAATGGGCTTTTTGGTATTAAATCTCTATGTTATTTCAATACAAAAATCTCTCAAAATAGGAGATCAAGACATTGTTTTAAGCATTTGAAGGATTGACAGTCTCTCTTATGTTGGTTCAAATGCCAGCCCATAAAAAGAACTGTATTTCATGAACAAAAGTTTGAACCATGTGTGTTTTTTCACACTAGAAAGGTTTCCATCCAAGCATTTTTATGCACATTTTCAATGTGATGGGTAGAATTGCAATCACTTGAAAGCAGTCAATACATAGCAGGAGGGTTTTTACACTCGGGGAAGGTGGGAAAGTCAGAATTTCTGTTGTGAAGGAAATCTGAAGCTGTGACTGAAGAAGTCTCAGGAGAGGCAGGAGAAGGAGGTTTGAGATGAACAGAACAACTGTCAGTGGTATGCCAACTGAATATAACGGTTTCCTTCTGTATGAAAGAGTGCATATCCCTGCAGTTCACTTTCTGTCAAATTAAAGCTACTATAAGGAGTATTTCACGTTTATGAAATAGACTCAAATTCTTGTTGGTGTTCTTTTTTTAATGGAATAGACAAGCAAACATGACCATGAGTGACTAAATTGACAATTTTTTTTTGTTTTGTTTTTTTACAAATTTCATGCAAAATATTCACAGTAAGTGATACATTTGGCGGTCAAAAGCCACTGCTTAAGCATGTAGAAGGCTACATGCTTACACAGGCTAAGAGTTCCTCACAAGAGCTAAAAGTCATTCTCTAATAGCAAACAAACATAAAATGACTATTAGAGACAAGGGAAATTTTATATGCTTTTGTTTTAATTTTATCATATTTATTATAATGAAAATGGCCTTTGATAGAGTTAACCCTTCGCACAAGTTTCTGGCATCAAAAGATATAAAAATCATCAGTCTTTTCGCTGATAGTCTTGTTCGCTTCGATGTATTACAAAAATGTATTAGTATGAATTTGTGTATATTGCAAGAACATAAAAAAACTCCTCACAGGTGCTTTAAATTTCCTAATCCAAAGATCCATCAATCGACTCCAGACAGAATTGAGCAGCTGGACTTTTCGCCTCAACAAAAAAAAACATGACCACACATTATTTCCCTTCTTAATACTGGTTTACTCTAGGATTTGGGATTAATTTATGGGTTTAATGGTTACTTTAGACCTACAGAGTGAAGAGTTTGACGTATGAAGTGATATATTGTCAGATTCTCAATTCAAACACCCCCTGCTCAACTCTCCCACCGGTGAAGTGACAGTGGCCTTCAAGGACAAGAAGCTCTTGTGATGCACGATGAGTAAGATTCTCTATTTGTCAAGTTTTTATCTTTAAAGTTACTACACAAATTCAGAACAGATCCCTCTGCACCTCGCATCTTTCCCTCTTCCAAATAGTGTATTTCACATGATCACTTATACAGGCGAACGTCCATTCTGTGCTTCGTAGAAACATGTTGGTACAAGACGATCTCTGTGGAGGAGGACCTGCTCCTGTAAAGATATGAAAGCTTATCCGAGGTAAACAAAAACAAAATGGTTTTATACTCATGAATTTTATTTTCTGTTTCTACCTTATTTGTTTGGCTGAATGCAAACACACTGCATCTTGAAGAGTATTTTACCCTTCCGTCCCATTTTCATGCAAATTTGACTCACAAAAGATAATTTGACACTATCTAAAGCGCCCCGAAAACAGCTGTTTATGCACCTTCAGCTGACTTCAAGCTCAAATTTACTGTAAGACTCTAAAATAAAAATGGTTTTGATATAAACAAGCAACAGGCATCAGGTGGTGAGGCTGCAAACTGCTGACTGATGTGTTACTATCAACCCCGGTTGTCAGTTTTCAAAGTGAATCTCTGTGAGGTTTTTATTCATGCGTTGAGCGCCTAGGGACACCCTGGTATACAGAGCTGTGGACAGCTCAATCTGTCAGGCGCTGACTGACACACAATAAGCTCTATCATCAATCAAGGGGTCTCCCCAGCCACCACTGATCTTCTCTGTTTGCTCTCTTTCTCTGAGTGGAGGGCAGGTGTTATCAATGCAGATGGTTTCATTTCAACAAATATTACCTGTCCTGTGGACTTTCAGAGTGCATCCACAAATATCACAGCACAATATTTGAGGCAGTTCTGCGAGGCTCTGACTGACAAAAATATTACATTTTCTGGCAGGTAACTGTCCATGACCGTGGTTTTAATAATCACTTAGCTTCAAAATGAGATGAGCGGGTCACTCCCAATAAGACTGGTATCTCTCACTGTCAGATAGAATTACTGTGAAACATAAATGACTCCTTTCCAATACTCAATATTTCTACCACACTACAATTATTCTTTAAAGCTTGTTTTATTCCCGGTCAGTTATTTCAAACCGGCCCCTCTCTCAAATGTACAACACGCCTTGAAATATTTCAACATTATCCTGGAGGGGGGGAGTTTTTAAATTGCAGAGTTAGTTGACCCAGACTTAATTTGTCTTTGTTGCCTCCTGGTATGAAACCCATCAGACTGGAGTAAGTTAATGAACCCAGAGCCTGAATTCATATTGTTTACTGCTTTCCTCAGTTGTCTGTGTAGTGTTTCACAGTCTCAAGCTGATAGTTTGGATAGGTCCCTTTACATGTTGTACAGATCATCACAAAAACAGTCTCCACTGAGGATGACGGTTCTGTGAATTTTAACAAGGCAGGGGTGTATCCAAAGAGTTGACACTGACCACCTCTGGTTCCTGATCCTCAGCTATGTTTGACAATTTACTAGGGGTGTCCGGGTGCAGCTTTTTTTTTACTTCCTATACGATAACGAAATTGATCTGATATTGGCACAAAATTGTCCATGACAAGTTTTGCACTCAACTGCAACGTCTTTTTCGGACTTAAACAAAAAATACCACCACACAGCCGACATCACTCCTACTCTTTGCTACTTTGTTAGTACCTTAGTTCACACTGTTGTTGTGATTTTGTGGGCTCTGCATGCTGGATCTAGGCACTGCTAGATAGAAGTGCTGCAGCGGAATCTGGAATGGACTGCTTGTATCGGAGTGCTGATGCCGGAGATTTTAGATGCAGGCTGATATAATCCAATTGTCGTTTTTTTTGCTGATATTGGACCGATATCAATATTTGATTGGGCCATCCCTACAATTAACCTCAACAGTGGCGGGACTTACAGTCAGTCAATGAAACTGAAGGCTTTAGAAGCTTTCTTTGGTATCTAATGTGGCACGGTTTCTGCAGCTTCCTAAATCATGACTTTAAAGAAATAACATTTATGTTTTAATGGACTCGAGTGTCCTTGTGTTGGTCAGGTCTTCTGAGCATCTTCAGATTTCAGACTCTAGAATAAGCTCTTATCTCATTCACCTCATGAAGCTTCCTGGAGAATGGTATGTCTTGGCATGTATGTGACAGCACAGCAGCTCTCATTTCTGTGCTCTTATTTTTGCATTTTAGGATGGCCATGTTGGTTGTTGAAGCAAGAAGCAACCAGAGAGACTGGCAACTGGTATGCTATTAGAGCTACACAGTCTGCCAAAGGCTAATTCGTTAGTTTAATTGGCTGGGACTGTAATGCGCTCATCAATCATAGAAAGAGAAAACTGAAAATAATCGAGGCATGTCCATCTTCACAGACAGCGATACTTAGCTGTTGAATCTCTGACATAAAATGATGTATTTCTTTTCAAAGTGTTCAAACAGCAAACACACAAAAACAACATCTACGCTGTTCAATTTATGTTTTTTCTCTCTTGCTCAAAGCGAAGTCCTCCTTGATTTATATTTCAGTAACTTGAAGCAGGTGTTTTCATCTCTCCTTTGCTGGTCTCACACTCAAGATTGTAACCACAGGCTCAAAAAATGGACACAGACGATGAGGCAAAAACAACATGACGATATCTCCTCAGCTCTCATCTTTTCTTGAGCAGAAGCTGCCTCTCCACCGCCAGCAGGATAATCCCAGCAGGTTTCTACTACTCAGAGGGCACTGTCTCAGTGACTGCTGTGGCTTTTTTAATGTTTGAGTTCATTAGGGTTTTTTTCTGTTGGACCTGTGCCTGTGTGCTGCTTTTAGAGACTAAATAGGGCCGTGTTTATTAGAGGAGGAGCAGCCACAGATGGCAACGCAGTGCCAAAGGACACAGGGTATTTCAGCTCTAGAACAGAGGTGAAAAAAAGGCCGCCATGGGATCTATCTGGTGTCAGGCCTCATTAATCTGCAGAGCCTCTAGCTGAAAGGAGTAGACAAGGAAAGTGTTATTAGTTTGAAATAACCTGTGGTCGTACCTGTTGATGTGAATTCGCAGGAGATTTCCTGTTGTGAAACAGCGCTGACAGCGAAGTTGTTTTCAAACAGGGAGGGCTCAGTTGGTAAATCTAATTAGATGCAAAGTTTTGTATCCAAACCATGTCTGAACTAAACAGGAAGCTAGAGCCAGCAGCTGGTCAGCTTGGCAAGTTCTGCTCAGCATGTAAACTGGAAACCCTGCAAAGCAGCCCGTCAGGATCCATCAGAAAACAACATAATTATCAGATCACATACAAATAAAGGAAATTATCTGTTACAGGGGCCCGGGTTGATGAATTATGCCACCTTTTGACACAGCCAGGTTTCTTGTTTTCCACTGTTTACAATCTTACATAGCCAAGATGTAAGTCTGTTTAGCAAAACCTTAACTAAAACCAGCAGCCAGTTAGCTAGCCCAGCCCACCTGGTGTCAGTAACAGCTCAAGGCTTACTTCATTTGTGAACTGTGGTTTAACCTTTTTTTTTTTAAACTAGAGAAGTCAACTGAGTGATACTTTTAAGGCATTGTTTGTCAGATTTTGCCACCCTCAGAGCTAAACTAGCTGATCCTAATTGTTTGTAGTGAGCTAAATTTGGCTAGGCTAAGCTGAGCTAAGCTAAGCACTATGCCAAGCTTAGCCAAACAAAAGCCAAAGAGAGACAGTTAGTCAAGACCAGTCTGACTGAATTTGTCATTTGTACATACCATGCCAAAGGCTAATTCGTGAGTTTGATTGGCTGGGACTGTCATGCGCTCATCAATCAAAAAAAGAGAAAACTGAAAATAACTGAGGCATGTCCATCTTACAGAGGCTCGGGTTGATGAATTATGCCACCTTTTGACACAGCCAGGTTTCTTGTTTTCCACTGTTTCCAATCTTACATAGCCAAGCTGTTAGTCTGTTTAGCAAAACCTTAACTAAAACCAGCAGCCAGTTAGCTAGCCCAGCCCACCTGGTGTCAGAAACAGCTCAAGGCTTATTTAATTTGCAAACTGTGATTTAACCTTTTTTTTTTAAAAAAAAACTAGAGAAGTCAACTGAGTGATACTTTTAAGGCATTGTTTGTCAGATTTTGCCGCCCTCAGAGTTGAACTAGCTGATCCAAAGTGTTTGTAGTGAGCCAAGTTTGGCTAGGCTAAGCTGAGCTAAGCTAAGCACTAAGCCAGGCTTAGCCAAACAAAAGCCAAAGAGAGACATCTAGTCAAGACCAGTCTGACTGAATCCGTCATTTGTACATACCTGACACTGTTGTTGTTTTTACAAGTTACATTTTTGGAGCATTTCACTGAAAAGGCAGGACAGCTGGAGAGACTTAGGTAGTGCAGGAAGCAGAGAGAAGTCAGCAAAGAGGGGATGAGCTGGGAGTGACACCAGCAAGATGAAGGCTGAAGCCTCCAGAGATGGAAAGCATGCCGCAAACTACCAGGCTGACAGAAGTTAGTATGAACATGTTTTTAAACTGATTTAATACAGAAGCTGCAACTACTTTATCAGAACCAAACTAGCTCATCAATCCTGTTTCCACAAATTCAACTAGGAGGCTTTGGATTAACCAAGAACCAGAGGCTAGTGAGCTGGTCCAGCCGACCTTGGCATGTAAAGTGGGCTGGCTGTGGTTAGTTGTTTCTGGCTGGGGGAAACAGCGAGCCTGAACCATTTCAAAAATCTTGCTCTTTGTACGTGACCCCTTATTTTGACTTCCTACAGCAACAGTGTCTGAACCTCGTCTGTGCTGTTGAGCTGCTGTATGAGAAAATCAACGGTGTATAATTAAACCTCTGCCCTCAGGGATAATGGCTATTGGTTCCTCACAGACTATTCAATAAAATACAGCCTGACTACCTCTGACTAATGACCGTACAGCAATAAAACCAAAACACAAACATACTTAGAGCATTCGAGGGATTCTGAGTGAAGTGAAGAGTGTCAAATAGCCCTGCCTGTATTAAGTAAGTGCTATTAAATACAGAGAAATAGCAAACAGTATCCAGTCTGTGGGCTTTTGTTGTTGTTATTAGCCTTGTGCCTCAAGGGTCTCATTTACTTTGTCCTCCTGAGGAAACAAGAAATCATGTGCCACACGGTTCCTTTCATATTTGTCATTGGCGGCATATTCTCAATATCCCGCCTGTCAATTCACCAACGAGATGAGAGGAGTGTAAATTACGCTCCTGAATGCATTGCTTTAATCAGCATGAATCAAGATGCAGATTTAATCTTGGCTTGTGTCTTTTCTCTGCCGTTTAGACGTTTGAGCTCAGCTGTGTGAATTCATCCAAGGAATGAAAAGAATCAGCAGATGCACAAGAAAAACTATATTTCTAATCACAAAGAGTAAGGATACAACTGTCTAAACTCCCTTTACTGTGCATGTCTGGAGAAAATATAATAGAAACATAAAAAGGTTTTAAAAGAACAGACAGTGGTTTCTAAGAACAAGAACATGAAGAGATTTTATTTTTTTGTGAGAGGATGTAAGCGCTCCAGTCCATAACAAATCATTTTTCAAAGTCATTTTCTTACATGAATCTGCAAAGGCACATTCAAGCACTCCAGTAATTCTCAGTCCTGGCAGTGTTTTGGCAAAATTGTCCCCTTCTTTTCCTCACAGCACATGCTGAAACCTGTGTTCAAAGCGAGGCTGTCTGAAGGAGCGCGCAGGCTGGAGCACAGATTTCCCCACTGAGTTGCTCAGCTGCTTAAGGAGCATCCAGAGAAGTAGCAGCATCAGTATCAAGAGTCCGAGGAGCAGCCCAATGTACAAGCTCAGGTTCCAGCCCCAGCCCAGAGCCAGGGGCAGCGAGGTGGACGCCACCAAAAATTTTCTGGGGGCAGGCATCAGGTTAGGCAGCAACCCGCCACCCTACCTCTTCAAGAAAGCACTCGTTCCCCAGACTTGGATCTCCTCAGGAGTTAGACAGAAGCTGTGCTGCAGCTGTAGGAGCCATTGTTCAAACAGGTATCCATGAGGTCTGGCTATGTTATAGAATTCCCATCTGTTCCCATGGTTTAATCCTCTGGTGAAGAATGCTGTGTCAGTCACAAAGCAAAACCTGTTGAGAGTGTGAGCATGGTCTCTGAGCGGCTCCTTATTGAAATGGTGGAAATCTGTCTGCTGCTGGGCTGTTTTCCTTCTCCTCTCCTGTCAGACTCCTCGCACAAAGCCAGCCTCCCAATTTATCGACAGAGAGAGTGAGAGAGAGAGAGAGAGAGAGAGCGAGAGAGAGATGCCTTCCACACTATAGGCTGCCTTTACTTTCGAGTAAATCAAATCACAGATGAATGAAAAGGAAATGTCAAACCTGACATTTACTGGAAATATATGGAAGAGGATTAGGGCTACTGGAAAAAAAAGGTCCAATAAAATTTTCTAGATGATTCTTAAATTAAAGTCAGAATTCTGAGATTAAAGACAGCTCCTTAAGCAGCAGAGCAACCTAGTGAATAAGTTGCATGTTTTCCATCAGCTACACTAGAAAGTGACTCATGATAAAAAAAAAAAAAAACACCCCAGGGGCAAATACAACCACACCTTCCATACTGGATCACTCTGATTTTACCTCAAACCAGTAACATGAGCATACATGTTTATCTACTCGTTTCGGTTAATTTGTTTCACTAAATTTTCTTCATTCAATAACTTTGTTTTTAATTTGTCTGCTCAGTTGAGGACTTAAATTCAATCATCTCGTTTCTCTAATTGCTTCATTTTATTTTTAATGCCTCTATAATTGAGTAATCCTGAAGTAAATGAGGGTTGTGCCTCAATGACCAAATGCATAAAAATATGAGTGCCAGACTAACACATGTATAAATTTTGTACATTTCAAATCCGTTTTATCTTAAGATATTGTTTTAAAAAAAAGTTCTGATTTTCACAGGCTACAAGACCAAATGAAAATTAGAACAAAAAGGCTGAATATATTTAACTATCTAGGGTGAAGAAAATAAAGTCAACCTTTTAAAAAAAACTTAAGCACCCATTTCATGTCATTTTAGAGGGGGGAGTTGACAGCAAAGCATTTGTTTAAGCAAGTGGTTTAAAGCGCTCTAAAATCAAGACCACGCTTGAGCAGTTAATGATGATCCGTCATCCTTTATCATTCAGCAACAGTTTTAAGCCTCAGGTAATAAAAAAAAAAATTAATGTACAAAAAGCTTTGCTCCATAGATCAATATAGCATCAGCCTGAAATGAAGCTTAATGTTTTTACCCTTTTAAGCGAGCAGAATACTAGAGATGAACAGCCCTTTTTTAAAACTTTCTTTGCACCAAAAACAAGTTTGTTAAGTCCTCGTGTGTACAGTGAAATCTTTCAGACTCAAAAATGGCCCTCTGCTGCCCTCATGGGTCCAGTGTGAGCACAAACATGTAGACGTTAAGTCTTACTTTAAATGATTTTTATTTACAAGAGCTATATTTTACAGTGCAGAAGACGTCTTGACAAGACATCAGTGTAATGAGACAGCTGACTCAATGACAGACAAAATACGCTTTAATTGCCATTCTGTGAGGCCAATAAGTATGTTACACCTTATGGTGAACCATCAACACTTACTGCTGAGATTAGGTCCATAAATGGAAACAGGTTGAGTATAGATCAAGGCAGAACGATTACAAAGTGGCAAATGGTCATCTACATTTTGTCTGAACGTCAAAAATTTAAAACTGCCTGATTAACCAAAACTATAGCATCTGGCAAGGATGTACAAAAAACACCATTAAAACTTTGAACATCTAGCTCTACTCCTAGAAGAGCAGGGCAGGACGCAAAATTGGGGCAAACATTATTAAAAAAATAAAATTAAAAAAAATTGAACAGGAGAACAACTCTACATGGACAGGAGAAGACGTCAGTTCAGCTGCAATTTAGTTGGAGCGTCGATGAGGGAAACTTCACAATACCTAGAAAAGAAACAAGTGTTCATCAATCTGAAGCAATAATAGTTAATTTTTAAAAAGTGTTTTTCTGCAGGCTACTTACTTTGTGGTTTTGTATTTCTCCCGAACAGACTGCTGGGCATGCTGAGCAGCACTGAGGTAGAGTCGGTGCAAATCCTCAATGCATGGCATCAAGTCTTCCAGGGAGTATCCTGTCATCTCTGCTAAGGACTTGGGCTGAAGGAGGAGGACATGAGTAAATTGCTTGTTACCAAAAATTACAAGCATCCCCTTAGCTTACCTTGTACTTAAAAGGTTTGCTAGTATTACAGATAAAAGATGAGCAAAGTTTGACATTAAAACTTACCCATGAGCCACCAGTCACAGTGTTGCTGGCCAGGGTGTAGGCTGCAGAAGCTGTCAGTGATGGCAGGTACTTCAAGAAGGGATCAGAGTCGACTAAACTGAGCTCACTGAGGTACTGGGGGAGGGGAACGGGATTATTAAGACAAATCAAATCTACATGGATAACATGCACTCCAGAAATAATACATTTCTCTGTGCGATAAAATGCTTAGACAGGGTCAAACTGATCCAAAACACACAGAAAATGTCTGCAGCAGGCTCACCATTGCCAGGCTTTCCACCTGTTTGCTAACTGGCTGATGGAGGATGTACTGGGTGAGAAACTGGTTGATTGTTGGAGCAGCCAGATCAAAGGAGAGCACTTTAAGGACCAGATGCTCCATTCTTAACACTTGCTTCTTGGTGTAGGTGTCATCTGTGATGTAAACAAACTCTGCCACCTCTGGGGGGTAGATCTCCTCGAATTTCCTGTATTTATTTGAGGATTAAAAATCAAGTCACTCACAAAGAAAGCCTAACCTTTGGCAAACCCTTTAATCTGACTGAATAAAACATAGGAGATACATACGAAGCCAAAAGCATGGCAGCGGTCCCAACCAGCTGAAGCTTTCCCCTCAGGACGGACATTGAGGACAGGAATCGATCTATGTAGTTTACAGCCAGATAAAGAGTCTCATTCTGGAGTTTGTACTCTTCTCCCACCTCTACCAGCCAGTCCACCAAGATGGCCCTCATGCTGTTAGTGATGTCGGGTTGTTTCTTCATGTAGCCAGCCTTCGGTCGGGTTTTTACCTGCAAGTGGCCAAAATATTACTGCAGGTACTTGGGAAACTGTTTGATGGGTCTCATTTTAACTGTGAAACAGGACAGTAAAGTAATCTTTTTTGGAGATATGCAGATTTTGTAGAAAGCTAAAAGGAAAGGGGGGGGGGGGGGGGATAGCATTTACCCCAAAGTTCTTACCTCCATTTCCCTAAGGTGGGTGTAGATTTCAGCAGCATATTCTGTGACTCCATTTATATTGACTGGCTTCTCTTCTCCTTCAACCACAGACATGTCCATGGGAGAGTCTGAGCAAAAAACAAAAAATTAGTTTGAGGATTTAAAGCAACTTACCTGGCTGTAGATGTTGTGTTTGTCAGGTTGTCATGAGAATTTCAAAATTTTGTTCACAACTCACCAAAGCTGACATCCATCGCTGATGGAATATCAATAGTAGCCAGGGGCTGTCGGAGCTGTGCCACCGCATTGTTAATCGCAAGGGGTGACTCTTTTGTGATGGACTTTGCTTTGACAGCTTCAACCGCAGGCTGTGGCTTCTTGGCACAGGAGTCTTCGGGCTCATCCACGTGGATCTGGAAAGAGGGCTGCTTGGCGGAGGGCTTCTCGAGGCAGCTTTTGCTGAAATCTTCATTTTTACAGGACAGGGGCTGCGATGAATCCTAAGAGAAAAAGACAGTATCAGAATTAGTTTAAGCAGACTCTCATTTAAAAAGAGACAGTGCTAATGCAGCAGGGTACAAATTTAGGGATGAATGGGGAAATATAGTACAACTTTGTTTGGGAGGCATTTTTACTGAGTCTTCATTTAAGTGCAGAAGACAAACCTCACACTGAATTACTGCAGAATTTTAGTAGCCTGCATCAAGTCATTGTTTCTCAGTGATAAAAACATGAGAAACTATTTCATGCACAATAGAAACTGACTGAAAACAGTGAAGGCTACTTGAAAACAGTCAAAATCGTATCAAAGCGGCTAAAGAGGAGAAACCTGCTGAGATGAAAATGGCGGAAAACCTGCATCATGGCAAAGTCGTGAAGTAAATACACTCACGTATTTGCATAACAGAAGTATTAAACCAACAGCAAGTCATGACAGAGAAAAGTGGCGCATTGTTGTGAGTCTGGTTCGTTGCCTCCAAAACCCACAATAGCAGCTGGAGTTAGCTCCTTAGCTTCAGGACTCAGACTGACCTGTTTGGTACCGCGCTGGTTCTGGCTTTTGCTCCTCTGGTTGTTCTGCAGGGCTCCCAGCACGGTTCTGTTGGTTGCTGCTGCCTGTTTGGGTGGCAGGTTTTCTTGGTTCTCGTTTGCTCGGGGTTTGAGGGAGCCTCTCAGTCTTGACAACATGTTTTCTTGGTTGTGATATTCACTAACCGCGCTTCCCTGCCCCCTGTTTACTCCCGACATCTTTCTCTCAAACTAAATGTCCCAAACTTTTAGACCTCTCCTTACAAAAGGTGCTTCAAGTTGGATGAGCTCTTGACCATGAAAAATAGGTTTAAAAAACTGTTGTAAGCCGCAAAATATCACAAAATGGAGGCTACAGTTAGCTGCAGCTGGTTCGTAGAGGAAGGTAAAGAATTAAACTCGGCTAAACTAAATTAAATAAAAACAGCGCCGTTTAAAACTAAACATGCACAACAGGCAGGAGGATATCGACAATAAGTGACACGCGTTTTAGGTCGGCATACCCGTCCGTTTCGAAACTACCAACCTCACAAACGAGCCAGCTAGCCTCGATCCATTTGTCCACAACCGTGTAGAGAGAGGTCGCTTTCTCTCAGTTCAAGTAGCCCGCGAGGATTGAAACGGACCAATCAACGGGCCGCTTGGTCGATGACGTCTTAGGTGTAACGGGTGCCGACACGGCACAATGTTCGCTTGATTACAAATTCAAAACCGGTTTGACACATTTGGGAAGAGAAACGTTTATGTCCAACAGCAGGGGTGTCAAACTCAACCACAGCAAGGGTCATAATCTGGATTTAAATCTAATCTGAGGGCCAAACAGGGTCAACATTTCACCAAAACTGTCAACCTCCTTTTCAAAAAATATGCAAAACAAAAACAGCAATGATTATAATTTATTTGGAAATTCAAAAAAGATCAATTTGAAGGCACTCTGAGATGCTCAACGATACTCCAGCCATATATTCTTGCAAATGCAACTTTTTCACAAAGATGTGGTTTCTAGGGTCTATGATATAATTTAAAACAAAACTGTATATATTTGTAATCTTGTCATTATACGAACTTAATTTCAGTCAAGTACATTTTGAGAATCTCTGAGATTTTTTATCGAAATATGGGAAAATATTTCAGTTATTCAGCATTCCTTAAATTTAAAGCTCTATATAGTTTTCACATGTAAACCTTGATTTTGTCTGAACTGCTTATCCTCTCAACATGTATTTCAATGTTTAACCTTTTTACCAATTTTCCGCCCAATTTCCAAACTTTAGGATGTGTTTTTATCTACATTGTCATTGCCAATGATTGCAAAAACATCATCAAAAGTGTTGTTCACATTGGCATAAAGCTCATATGCACGGCTACAACATAATCTAATATGCTTCTACATTGATATTATGGTATTAAAACAATGTTGAGGACAGTTTGTGATTATGCAATGCAATTTTAGGATAGAAACACCCATTTTTGCATCTTATATGAGAGTTGTTAAAGAGACACTGAAAAACAATGGTTTAGTGGTTCAGTTTAATGATAACAATAAATAAGGTGTGGCATTTTGTGTTGAAAATGATTCAATGTCACATTTGGCTACTGGTATCACAGAAGCTTTATTTCTGTAAGTTTTACACTTAGCTGTGTCTATTCATTTTACTTTACTTTCAACTCTTATTTGAATAGATTACATCACCATGTTGTGATTGTATAAGAAAAAAAAATCTGTGCGCTTTTAGCTGTTTTACTGAAACTTTCAACATAATCCACAGTTTTGCCACTCATAAAGACAGTCCTTCACTACACTGGCTTTATTCTTGTAATTACCTCTGTTTTAGATGCTATCAACAAGACAGTATAAATAACAAAAATAGGACAAAATGTATCTACATGACAGTATAACATTAACACCCCCTGATGGTAGTGTCTATTATAAAAGAATGCTTTAAGCATTTATAGTACAAAAACAGCACAGATACAGACCATAAACAGTACATAAATATACCCTCTAATCAACTTAATATCATACCTCATTGAAAAAATTCAACAGAGAATTTAAGTCGTAATTTTCAAGTATCTCCAGCAATGAAGACACTTTAGTTTTTACATTCTGGCCTTTGAACTTAAATTTGTCGATGAACAGGTCGGTGATCATTCCTACAGGAAAGAGAAAGAAAAATATTAGTTATGTTCATCACATTCAAGCTCTTCTTTTTTGTTGCTGATGCTTATTTTGTGCTGTTTTAAGTTTTGGGGCTGTATCATCAGTCTTAATGTAAAAGCAATAAGCTGACAATTATGGGGAAAAACAGCAAATGACACATGGACTAAAAGACATTCAGATGTAATCAGAACAAGAGTTTACGATGCAATAAAAACACTGTACCATAAAGCCTCTCGAGGTGTGCAGGCTGCTTCTTGTACTCCTCAAGGAGATTAGCAGATTCATCCAAGATGTTGCGATACTCTGGGATCAGGAAGTCAGCGTTCCCCTCATGAACCTGCAGCTCCTGTTCACCAAAAATTTGAGAGAAGTGAGGCCACTGCAACTGCGATGAATAACCTTGAAGCCTTAAACCAAGGAGGTTTTGTCATCATACATAAGATATGTATTTAATCCCACTCTAAAGCCTGACCAGACAAAGACTGCAAATTAGTTGAAGCCAGACATCTTGTATGCATCACATTTTCCATTTTTAGTGGCAATGCTGTATGTATTGTCCCTGTTAAATAACCATTAAATAAATCAATAAATGTACATACTAAAATGGCTTCTGGTAAAATGACTAACTTTACTAAAATACTAACTTTAAGTGCATCAATGAGTTGAACTTTTCTTGCCAACAGCAACTGATACTCCAGCTTTGGGTGTATCATCTTCAGGGTGTGGCTCACAGAGTCATCATCAATATCTGAAATAAAAAAAAAGGACAACAGGGTTAGATTTACTCAAATTAGATCTTTGACTAATTGCCATGAGCAGATACTGTAAAATAAAATATGTACCGTATGAAATGTTCAGATTGATTTTCTTCTTTGTGGCTTCTTTAGAGAGAACGTCACTCAGTATGGAGATGGTGGAGATGTTGTCTGACCTGAAGTGACCCTCCCCTTTGCTGAAATGACAAATTAGAGCAAAAACATGTATGTTTGTATATAAATTCCAATGCAAAATTATAAACAGAACATTAATTGAAACATTCTGAGAGACATTAGACATGGTATTGTACAACCCTGTACAGCCAGTGCACAGAACAGCTGTTCTACTTTGTGCTGTTGTTTACCAGTAGGTGGCTTCAAGCTGTGTCCCGAGAAAAGTGTTATTGAAATAGAAGGAAATGTTTTCTCCTGCTGGTGTTTTCTCTGGAACCTCCGGCAAACAGAAGACCACCCAGGAGTGGATCTCTGCAAAACTGAACTGCCCCACCAGACTGAGTCTGTTCATGGGTCTGTTTGAGAAACACAGAGAGAAAGGGAGTGACAGATTTATTTCTTTTGTACAGTAAAAATAATGAGACTGAATACACTGTTATAATTTCAGTCTTCCATATATTAAAAAATACTTTTTAAGATAGATAATCTGAAACAAAACACACATCTCACAGTTGCTATTTGGCATTCTTCTGATAGAGTGTAGCTTGGTCCAGCATTTTGTTTTGGATGTGAGTAGTAGTCCCCTACAAGCCATCTAAGCAACCCCCTCAAAAATAAAATGTCCTAGCTGATTCCCATTTAAATGAGAACTTGATATTATAGTCACCTGTCTTGGTCGATGCTGTGCATTCGCTGGTGGAGAGACAAAGGTTTGATCTGGTACTTGCGGACCTGGCAGGTCTTGGGTTGCAGTCTTGGGGTGATGTATGCCTGCAGAGTCCCATACTGTCCCTCAATGGACCTCACCTACAACAAAAGAGAGACAGTGCTTTTCTGCAGTGACTCATTTATGATAATTGAAAGGGTGCATATTTCTGACAACATAACAAATAATGTAACACAACCATTTCTGTTTTGGGAGAGGAGATTGACACACAAACACGAGAACTGTCAGAGACATCAACACATCCAAAACAACAACAACAACAACAAAAAGGGTTTTGATGCACATGTTACCTTGAGTTCAAGTCTGGTAGTGTTAGCCTGACATCTGTAAGTAGCCAGGAGGAAGTTCCCATTAGGCTGCTGAAAACAGAACACGTCCATTAGTCCTTTTAGAGAAGCAACGAGTAGATGATTTTATTTTTACAGTATGCCTGTCTTGTGTGGAAACAGTTTTCCCAGCTCACCTCTGAATCACATTCACTGAAACTGACAACAGCTGAGTTCTTATCCACATCCAGCAGGTCTATGGGGACGTCGCTCTACACAGGAGATTCATCTTTTAGTTGTATTTTCTGCAGCCTGACGTATTTATTGTGAGCTGGATCTAAAGCTTCAAGTTATTCTGTCAAGGACTGAATAAATCAGCAGACCTGGAGCAGCAGATTGTCGATGGCAGTCTGCACCTCTAAAGTGAGGCTGTAGCTGGCGTCATCCTGGCAGAGAGTGAACTTGTCATTGATGCTGAAGATGGGAACGGCAGAGACAGCTGTGCTGGACTGAGATGTCTGCTGGTACTGCTCTCGGCCCTGCAGGACTTTGACCTGCAGTTGCTCAAGCTCGGCCCTGAGAGGGAAGGAGATAAATAACCAATGAACAGATTTGTTATAAATCTCAACCTCACTGCAGGGTAAAAGACCTTTGTGTGTAATGAGAAATAAAACACAATTTTACTGATACCTGAGGGCTTCGACTTTAGACTGGGTCTCCTTACTCATCCTGACCTCGTCTCCAGGGCCAGCTTCAACCTTCTGTGGCTCTGTGGTCAAACCAGTCACCCATCCTAAAAGAGGTAATTAGTAAAAATATATAACGGGCTTCACACAGAGACTTATACAAAGTGAGTATCCACCCAGCTAAGCCAAAAGATTTAGAGCTCCCCCTGGTGCCCATCTGCAGTATAAGAAAACCTGACGCTGTTCTTATTCAATCTAACCTGTGTATGTAGCAGTCAGGATTTCATCATAAGACTCCTTTCCTACGCAGCCACCCTGGACAGAAGTCACACTCTCTGACAACACCTTTAGTGGAGAAAAAAGAATTTTTGAGCAATGAATAATCAGAATGAAATGGAGCTTTGTGGCTGAAAAGGTCCATGGCAAAAAAACACAATAACTTCAACTTACAAAAAACACTCTAACAAACTCAGTTAAAATCTGAGCCGACACAGCTTCTCTAAACAGTTTGCTTTCATTTGGAAAACTCTCGATTAATTGGAGTGAATAGAATCTCCACATTAGACAGGTTGTTCCGATAAAAAAACTCACATGTTCAAAGCGTAACGTTGGTTCATTTGTGCTTTCAAAACCATAGATCTCAACTGTCCCATCATCTCTGCCCACCAAGACGTCATTCACTCCGTCTCCAAGAATATCGTAAGTGTCAATGCACAGGATTCCTGAAGGGAGAACGAGATAGAGTAGGATGATGGAGATTACTTAAAGAGGTGAGAGTTAACAAAACAAGATGGAACTGTTACCCAAAGTTTCTAACCACCTGCAAATGAAAAATTTATGACTCTAATAACTTTATATTTTTTATCAATCCTAATGAGTCAACTGTTTGTATTTGGTGACTAAAACAAATGAAAGCTTGGTGTTATCATGCAAACAACTTACCTCCTTTCTTCTTGTCATTGTCAATCTCCCATTTAGTTGCAGCGGAGCCCTTACCAATTTGGACCAATCCTATTTTGCCATCTGTAGTTCCATAGAGGACGTCCTCACCTGTAACATCTAAGAAAAATCTTTGATGTTACAACAGATGGCAGCTCTGCATGAAGCAATATTGTGTTTAATTTGGTACTGAGCGTAGGTGGAGGAACAACAACTCACCTCCATCTTTGTTGTATAGTTCCAAGACAGACGGAGGACCAGGGACTTCAACATCATAGGCAAGCTCAGACCCCTGCAGTGTTAAAAATATAGACAAATATATTCTATAATATATATTTGAAGTACAACACCTTACATATCAAAATCAAATATTGACAGAAATTTTTATTCAACCTGCAGGACTCTGAGAACTCGATCTTGGCACGCCAGGACCGGAACAATGTTGGTTAAGTTCTCTGAGGACAAACACGTGATATCATTGATCTTGTCTCCAGAGAGGTAGTAGTCCTGGTCCTTGCAGTCACAGTAGTGGTTGTAGATGTAACTGGCACACACAAAAAGGTCAGCACCTGCCACATGCCTGGAAGAAAGACAACAAAAACACAGAGTTCTGAATGTGTCTATAAAAGCAGTGTCAGCCAATCACGAAAGGAAGAAATGGTTCCTACATGGCGTTAATGCTCTCTGTGAGGTTGGCTTCAAAGGTGAGGAACTGTTTGCCTTTCTTGGTAAACCCTCGGACCTGAGAACCAGAACAAACAAAGATCTTCTCCTGTGGAGTTCCTGCAGCTCCTCCAAGATCCATTCTGGAAATTTTGGGGCCTGGGAGTGTCTTAAAAACAGGCTGAAACAAGGAGAAAAAGTTCTTGTCATTAGACACATCCAGATGCACGAGATAAAAGAGGAGCAAATATAACCTAAACCATGAGGAAACCCACCACAGCTTCTCCTTTCTTCATTCCAAAACATGTCAGCACTCCATCATGATCAGCAATAGCAACCTGAAAAATACAGAAGGTAACCAAAACCATGTCGCTGCAACAATATGCAATGAGATTGATGCACAATGCAAAGAAACTCAGAGGAGGTTTATACCTTTTGTGTTGCCTTTTTCCCCAGTGCTGGAAGCAGCCTCATGGTTTTCTGGGATGTCACACCCACCTGAGAGGACAAAGCATAAATACAGGTATTATTAAAGTCGACTGATCCCTCTGGGTCTTTTACACCTCTGGGAACCTGAGGCATGGAGGTTAGACTGCCCCCCACCCCTGCCTTAGGCATTGGGCACAGATTGACAGACCCTCTCACCAGGCAAGGGGCTGCTTTCCCTTAGAATGAAAACCACCAAGCAGCCACAGTAATAGTTTTTTTTTGTTTTGTTTTCCCACCCTCTAGTTCATCACTTAACACTACATTTATAAGTAGAACTAAACTTTCGGCGTATTCTCAACACACACTGGACTCCATTTTGCACTCACGTCATCATGCACATTCATGCACAGCTGCACAGTGATTATTTCCACTTTTGTGTACATCATGTTTTATTGATTTTATAAAATCTGGTCCTTATTGTCACATTTACTTTATTCTATTTCAGTTCTATTTTATCTGCCAAGTTGTGTTTGGTTGATACAAAACTTAATTTAAGGGGCAGCAGTAGTTCAGGAGATAGAGCGGTTGTCCAATAACTTGAAGGTTAGCGGTTCGATTCTCCCCTATCCCTAGTCTGTCTGTTGTGTCCTTGGGCAAAACACTTAACCCACTTTGCTCCCAGTGTGTGTCCTCCACTGATGTATGATGTGAGTGTTGTGTGGTGGTGGTCGGAGAGGCTGTAGGCGCAAACTGGCAGCCATGTTTCCCAGGACAACTGTGACTTCTGAGGTAGTTCACCACCACCAGGGTGTGACTGTGTGAGCGAATAAATGATGTATCCAATGTAAAGCGCTTTAAGGGTCTCTGATGAAGCAACATACGAAATCTGACGCATTATTATTATTTATTAAGTTGAGAACTGTCACATTTACCAAAATGTAACTTCATGCAGAAAGCAGCATTTTTGTTTCTAATCAAATTATAATTTAGTTTCCCTTCTGCTCATTTTTTTCACCATCAATAACATCAAATATTCAGCAGAATGCAGTAGATTAAGTGTGCTCAGTATTTTCCTGGACCCCCTTCTCAATCATTGTTCCTCTGTAAATCTAAAAGAACCTTTCATTAAGATTATCACAAAAAAAAATTCAAACTCGGTGACCTCTGAGGAATTTACCAGCCGGGTTTGCTCACCTAAAATTAATACCAGCTCATCCTTATTTGTGATAAGCTACTACTCGGCTGGTGCAACTAGACTGCCAAGGAGGTCATGAACATGCTGTTGGAGGCAGATATTCATTAATCATGATTTTCTGTGCTCTGGTTTATTTATTTTAGTCACAGCCTGATCAAACCACAGCCAAAAGAGCGCCACAGTGTTCTAGTTTTCATCCTTTTTACTCTAACTTTGTGTTGGTTAAACTCAAACAAAAACACCTTAAACTACTTGGCTGAGGACAGAAACTTACCTGAGGTGAAGTGAACTGATTAGAGATCAGTTTAAAGGCAGGTGTCAGAGAATCAGAATGCTGTGTAGACAAATAAAGCACCTTTACCTGAATATAATCAACTCGATTGAGCTGGATGTCCATCTTCTTCTTCTTTCAGATCTTCCACACAGGTTATCCGGTTACTTGTGGTCCACCTTAAACGTGTGCTATTCGCAGCTTGTTGGCCACATTTCCACCTGAAATACAGGTCGATAATTGTAATGAAAAGAGATTAACTATCCAGAGCAAGGAGATTAGCTTGACGTGCTACCGTTAGCTAGCGGGCTAATTGGCTGACACGGTTTATCCCCTTCACCAACTGTCACCTCTGGTTCATTCACATCTTATCTTTTTAAGGTAAACTCTGCGGCCTCGATGAACAAAGCAAATATCTGCCTGTGTTTGATACAATAAAGAACTTAACTCCGCTCTATAACGAGTAACGTATATACGCTCTGGGAACGAGATGAACGCAGTGTTCGTTGTCAATGGCAACGCAACGACGTCGGAACAACTCGTAACACCATTGGATGCAATTGAATGAAAGAAGTTGAAGCTATGTGTTGATTGGTTGAAATCACCCCAACGTATGTGTACATAAAATGAATCGGTGGGTACGCAGTACTTGTTGAAATGCTTTTAAAGGGATATTCCGGTTTAAAATTAATTTAGGGTTAAAAACACCGTAACACCGAGTCAGACACCCCCTCGAGAGATGAATGTTGCCGACCGCTTGCTTCTCTAGTTTTACCAACTTTAGTAACGACCGCAGGATATCAATACACAGCGGTCTGAGGAGCCACACACAAACCTCAACCAAAACGCCACTCTACAGCCACAAATAATGCTCAGAACAGCGTCTAACTTCATCAACAGTACATATAGGGTCCAAGCCATAGTCCCAGCCACGAAACATCGTTTTAGCTTTGCCTAATTTTTGCCTTTAGCAAAAAGACTAAACACAACACACCTACTCTCCTCCAGCAGCCACCTGTTTGTAGCAAGACCTTAGGCCAGTCCATTATGGACTACAACGGGGTGACGCAGCTCAAGGAAGAACATTAACGATAATTTCTTTATTTCCTTGAAGTAATAATCACCATATTAATCATTTTGCACTGCAGTAGCGGTAGTTCTTCTGCCTTAGCGTCTCAGTCTGATTGTATTTCATTTTTTCATTTATTTATTTAAAAGGGACAATGCACATTAATGAACATAAAAAAGTAAATATGCCAGATTTAGCCAATGGCAAATTTTTAACTGTAGTCCCTGGCAGATCAAGGAAAAAAAAACCTGAAAGATGGAAGCACAGTGACAGACAAATACAAAGATCATCCATACGGCATGGAAGTGGTAGGTGACTGACCATTTTTTTAAATTTGTGGTTCTCTCGCTTTCACATACAAATAGTAAATGCAGTATGTTTGTGTAGAGCTGTCTCTAGTCTTCTAACCACCCATTTACACCACATACACACACTGATGCAGAGTAAATGGACTTAAAATTACAGACATATGGCTTTATTGAAAAAGTAGTACCAGGGTTTAATTAAGAGATATTTTCTCTATGAAAAGATGATTCTGGAGTTAATATGGTTCTTATTTGTTCTTTATTATTTGTTGGTTTAATTAAGAGATCATTTTATTCATATCATAAAAAATGTGGTTTGTTTGTAGGCAAATAAACACATTGAACATGGCAAGAGAATAAAATCATAGCATGCATCAAGCAAGGAAGCTACGTCGCACAAATGAGTGGATACTCAAAACAGCATTCAAACTGAGAAACATGGGGAGAATGCATTCAGAAACATGACATGCACTGAGCAACTCATTTAAAAATGAATCTTACAGCAAAGTATCAGGTACCTTTACATATTCTATAAAAAACAAGACATCTCATCTCATCACTATGTCATACCTTCGTAGAATATGCATGTTGTTAAAAGAGTGAGTTCATGGCATTAATAGGATACATGAGTAGTAACGTGTTAAGACAAACCAGAGCATCAGATGCCTTGCACATAAAGAAGAAAATTGACAATGTAGGAGCAGCAAACAAACCCCATCTTCCATCCATCCAATCTCAAGATTATTATTAAGAAACGAGGACATATATATATATATTCATAATCACATTTTCATTAAAGAAACTAATCTCAGAATGTTAATGTTTCATCACAGAGTAAGCAATCATCATGAATAAATAAGGTCATAGAGGGAAAAAATAACAGCTGACACAAATAGAGACACAGCTGATGTCTGCTGCGCTCTGCTCGGAGAGTATAACAAAGCAAAGAGTGTCCACTGCTTCAATGAGGTCACATTAAGAAGATGGTTTAAAAGAAACTATCAGCGTGAGACTTCAGTGCATCACTGGCTGCTCTTCACCTGTACTCAAACATACAGAGAGGATGGAGCACAGTCTGAAAAGTTGACATTCAAAAATCAGTTCCTTCGGTTGATGGCAATGTCTGTTCCCATCAAGGTTTATGTCACATCCTAAATGCTGGAAAAACGAAACATAAAGAAAAGGAACTGACGCGGAGTGATCAGACCCCTGTGGGGGCCAGACGGCTGATAAAGGCGATACTGCTGAGGCACATCCTCCTGAAGAAGGCGGGACAGGCGGGCTTCATGATGAAGTGCTCCAAAAGGATCCGCAGCTCTGTGAACAAGGTGCTGGGGTGGAAACAGATGTCAAATGATTGTTCAAAATTAAAATCTAAATTCAAGTATTCTAGTTCGAATTCTCTTGTCTCGTGTTTTCTGCCAAAATCTCTGGCATTTTAGCACCAAACTTTCCAGCCAGTTTATACCTACACTGCTGTTCTGTTCTGGTTTGTGGTAATAATGGCGGAAAATATTCATCATGCTGAGTTGTAGACTATCACTGACAAACAAAATATTTCAATACTTCCTCACATCTGATCCTGGAGTATGACTTACTTGTATTATATGATCATTTACGTAATAAAAACCTGCACTGTCTTATAGTACTGTATTATTTAAACATCTTACCGGCAGTATGGGTTTCTTCTAGACGTGTAACGGAGAGTGAGGAATCTGTAGTAAATGAAAGGCAGAAGCAAGCTTCCCTGGCCACTGTGGAATAAAAATGTTATGAATATGTTAAAAAAAATACATTACAGTCATTACTTTTAATAATAAGATACAATCCTGAGAAAAATGTCTTTGGCTTGCATTTTAAACCATAGTGTATAAAATTAACTGTACCAAAAACTGATGAAATCTACTTCTATCGATGACACACTACACATTCAAACCAAATCATTTATGATATGAATTAAGACTTTATGACATGTTTAGAGTTCAAGACAGTAATAATACATGAAAAACTGTTAACTAAATAAGAGCTTCTGAGTTTCTAAACAGTGTAGTCAGGTACACTGACCTGAAGAGCATAAAAACAGTGGCTGGCATCAAGAAGATCTCATTACAGGCGATGAACTTGAGGATGTTTTGCTGATTGGTCGTTAGTTTGTCCAGGAGGTTTCTGATGAACATCAGGCTGCTGGGGCCCATTGACTGCAAAGAGAGATCCATGAGAAGAAATCAACAACTGTGAGGTAAGTAGGTCGATAAAAAAATTAAAAATAAAAAAGGGATTAGATTGAGTAGCTTGAAACTAGAAATGGTTCATGTTTTGGCTGAGTTCATAAAATACAGAAAAAGGGAACTTGTGGTTTCTGTAATTAAACTGTCTGTGAATATGATAAATAACTGTTTATTAATTAATATGAAATCATAATATGTTATATAGTTTTTTTTCATTTGTTCAGCAAATTGCTTTTAGTCAAAGTTATGAACCAACAGTTCTTAAAGACAAAAACCAAGATGAACTGTTACATTTACTCACATCAAGGACTTTTTTCGTGTAGGTGGTTGCATGAAGCAGAGAAAAAAGGAAGACTGGAAAGATGCTCACTGAGACCTGTTGTTAAGGATCAACATCAAAAACATCTAAAGAAATGTTACACAACTCACTACGTGGAGGTCCTCAAAGTGGAATACACAGAGAGGATGAAAATTGATCAAATTTTTCATGATGAAAATCATGAGGTTTGGTTATGCAGGTTAACTTGTTATGTATCCAATCCTCCAGAGAGGCCTGGTGCAGTTCATCGTGGACTTTCATGTGATACTTATCAGAACAACTGAAAGGAGAGAGTGCACTCATGATGTCAAGAAGACATAAACAGGGCATAAATACTCCATGGATGATATAGAGGATAAAACAAATCACTGTCAAAGTTCAAGAAAAAAACATCAATTTTGCGTTCAAATAGGAAAATAGAGAAAAAACTCTTGAACAACATTTGTGGTGGCAAACATCAGGAAGAAGGATACTTGTGATGGGGTAGGAGTTAACCAGTATGAGTGAGTAGAGCAGGTAATGGCAGCTGTCCTCCTGAAGAGCCTGAGCCAGGAAAGCTCTGCTCAGCTGAAAGCGTGGAAGCCTTTGATGCAGGCGGAGGGCACTGGTGAGGGCGTTCGCTAACAAGGCTCGCTGATAGAAGTTAGCTGCAGCATAGGGTCTGAAACACACAAGCAGTGACACAGTTTTAGAGGTCTGTTCAGGTTAGGCGACGATGGGAGGGAAAAAGCAATTTAAATATTTGATGTTTCTACAAATCACACTTTGGCGGGACTGAGTAAACTTACCCCAAAATTGGAAGAATAAACATTATAGAACAGTAGACTGTGAAGAGACGTGAAAGCCACATTGCAGTTTCCAGCTTGTTACTCATTAAAAATTGCTGTTGAGAAAAGAAGAAAATACATTTAGTATTGCAAAGAGAGATAAACTGAAATGGCTTCATATAATAAAATATCGTGGGTGAAAAGTTTACAGTTTTTCTGTGCCACAGTTTCAAAGTTCTGAACGGCTCATCTGAGATGGAGAGATGTTTCTGAGAGTCTACCTTAACCAAGTTCTCCGTGCAGACAAAATAAACAGACCTCGCTACGAAAACAACTTAATTCAATCTTCAGGTTAATTCTTGCAACCCCTTATCAAAAAGTCAGGAGACAGAATTCAGCTGCATCCAATGAAAGACCACTGGTCTCACATCACCCGACTAAAGCCGGGTTGTAATCTTACCAACTTCTTTGGATACAAGCAGAAACAAAAGTTACAGGAGAATTTTTTCTTTCAACATCAGATTATTATTATTAATTATTATTATTCACCTGTTCTCAGTTCAGAGCTTTGTCCAAATGTCTGTTAGAAATTTTGGAAAATTGCAAATGTAACACCCAAGAGTCAAGCCTGAGACCATACTTTGGACAGTGCCATGAAACTTTCTGAAAACATGGAGTTTAATTCAAAACGATTTCTAAAGGGTGTTTCTATTTCAAGACAGTAGTCATTTTATTTCATTTTGAGTCCATTACTTTCAAATACACTGACTTCTTGATCCCTACATTTTAAGCTCTGCATCACAACACTGATTTTTTTTTTGTATTGGCAGAGTTTCCACAATTTCCTGGAGATAATTCTCATGAATTTTTTCAGGATGTTTTCAGTGACAACTGAGCTGGTATGACAGGACTGCATTGTGCCCACAGTTTTGACTTGCTTGTGCTTTGTCTGCTGTTCATAGTTTTAACACTGGCATCCGGATTAATTGTCAAACTTTCCCAAACCCAGATCTAAAAACTAGGTAGCTAGCATTTCAAATAATGAGGTTAAACCAAAAATGCTAACAGTTTTAACATTATTCAACTTCTTAACACAAGAAAAAAACACACATAAATACATACATACATAGTTTATCTACACACCAGATGAAACTACAGTTAGCAGACTGCAAATACTCTTTATTAGCATTTGAATCACACTACACTATTTGAGGTTTTGGTTTATTATCCAACCTGCAGGGGCTTCTGTATGATGTGACTGGGGTGTTTCTAATGTGGTCTATTCTTAATACTGTTATCTGTGAACTACTATCATTCTTTGAAGAGAGTCTTGACTATATTTAGCTCTGTCAGCTGGCAGTGTCACCTGTTTGGAGGAACTCCGTAATGAGATTGAATGTTTTCTGGGTCAACACAAGATTTTCTGGACATTTCACTTTTTCTCTAATTTTCTGTAACTGGAATATTTGTCAGCTGTTTTCCAGGTCAAGTGGGCATTTGAGTGCTAAACTCTTTATACAAAGGACGCTTATTTACCATTGAACTTATTATTCCACTGGACATTTTCAGGCAAGATTGGCAATAATTCAGGGTAGTGATTTTTAACATTATAAAACCTTTGGTTTGTTTTACTTAATCATCGGAGTGTAAAAACACACACACTGGGGTGACCGAGCCTCTTCAGTTGTCGGTCCCAGGCTCTGATATAAGCTCTCCACCGAAATGAGACTTATTTCTGACCTGGGTCTTTTTAAATCTTGATTGAAAACGTATTTATTTATGCTGGCTTTTAATACCCAGTAGCGTGGTGACACTTTATTTATATCATTGAATCTTATTCCTTTTTTTAAATTGTTTTTATTGCTTTTTATTGTTTTTATTTATTCATTCTTACTATGTATTGTAAAGCACTTTGGTTCACTGAAAGGTTTGTTGGAAAGGGCTGTATAAATAAAGTACATTTAAAGAACATTTCAACAGAATGTCTAGGTAGTTCTGACAGTTAAGTCACCACACACACAGATCTGTGCGCTGACAAATGCTACAGGTGACAAATATCTTTGTACAGTCAGCATAACACACCAACTAATGAGATGATAAGTAATTGAAAGAGTTTACTAAGTGATTCAATGAACAGTTGAAGCTTACTCACCACAGGCCCAAGTTGAGGAGGAGGAGGGGGAGGAGGCCTTTGTTGGTTTGTGTCAGCCATCTTTGGGAGTATGGGTCGCTCTAATGGGAAAGAAAACAAAGTGACTCGTCATACCATACCTACGTTTTTGTTTCACTTCAAACATTGCTTGGATGGAAAGCAAGAGACTGTAAAAAATAGAGACTGTAAAAAATAAAATGAATTTCCCTTTAGAAACATGTTTAAAAAGACTTCTGGAGGACTGTCTTAACTCTAAACATACTGAACTGACTGACAGGAATGACAAAAGACAAGAAAATAACACACATTGAAGAGGATAGTGCAAATTTGAAAGAAGGGAACGGCCCTATGAGATGTCCGTCTTGTTTTCGATGAATGATCTCTCACCAAACAATAAATTATTGAAGTCGCAGGGGTTGATTTTGAGTGATGGTGACCTTTTATTTCTAGTAATACTAATTTTAGTTACATCAAAAAACTCCAGCTCTACCTCTCACTGGTAAATCTATAAATTAATATGAATTTACAAACGTAGGAGCCAAAGAAGACAATGTAGGTGAGATGGTTTATCTCTTCAAGAAGAAAAGGGCAATTTCACCACTTTATCCATCAAGACCAGAATGGACTAAGTCCTGATCCACAATCAAAAGCAGATTTATCAAAGTTAGATGTGATTATCCTAGAGAAACATGGTTTCAGGGTTTTGATGACTCTTATTTTACCCCATAACATAAGGGTTTCCAATGGATAAAACTGTTTTCAATGGGAGTAAAGGACACTTCAGAATAATACAGTATAGACCTGACTAGGGCTGGGCGATATGAGAAAAAGTTTATCAAAATAAATGTTTTTTATATCAGTCGATATCGATATATATCACAATATACGAAATTAAATCTAACAGTGCTTAGTGGCAGCACGCCTTTTGCAAATTAATAAGCCACTGCATCTGCGGTGTCTCTTCTACGTTTTGTCGTGAGGTGTTGCACTAGAGGAAGCGGACTGAATGGTCGGCTGTTTTGGCTGCACAGATGCCATGGGCTCTTTCCTCCGCTCAGGGTTTGTAACCTTTTGCACATGCTCTGCCGTGTGTCACTGCGTCAGGTGGTGAAAAAGATTAGAGGTTTTCCCCCCCAACTATGAGAGATCATATACTCGACATAATTTGCAGTGCACATTACTCTGCTTCATGTCAGACCTCAAAAAACTAAAATACCTCCACACCTTCGACGTTTTCATGCCAGTGTTGTCGACGATGTCACCATCTGTTGAGCCTTCATTTACATTTCTGCCGAGAGTAGCACTCATTTTCTTTTCGACTCACCAACAGTGCTGTCAGCTTCTAGTGTTAAAGTGCTGTGGTTGCGTGTAGCTGCTGTCTGCTACTACGCAGTTGTTTGCAACTTGGTTCTAATTCAGCACATGACTGGTTCAGTGCGAAGCGGACCCGAAGCGGAGCAACTCTCCTTTTCATTGGCTATTTGTATAGTCTACTAATACATGGCAGAACGCCGACTATTGAAAAGCATACTGTCCATTTTTTATATTGATATTGCGGGAAATTAATTTTCGATATAAATCGTTATCGTTTTATCGCCCAGCCCTACCCTGACAGGTCTGAATATTTCAGTTCTGGATGATGATCTGGTTCACTGAGGTCTAAAGGAGGAATAAACTGTAAAATCTGTAACCAAGAGACTCAAGAAACCTGGGTATTGTGGTTCTGAATCAAGACCTGGACCAATGAGTACAGATAGAAGAAAAGTAGAAAAGTCGCTCTTTGATTCTTTTCAGACACAGGAAAGGTTTGACTAATCTGAACCTGAGTTCAACATTCAGCTGCTAACATCAGCTCCAGTTTCAGTCACCATGCTGTACTTCTTTACTTTAGAAGGACCAGTTTACACAGAAGGAGACCTACAGCCGTGACAGCGACAAAAACAAACACCCTTCAGGGTAAAATCATGGAGAAAGACTTCATGGTGCTAATGTAGAGGAGCCGTTAGCAGCAGGTGGCTCTAGAATCTTCTGTTTCCATCGTTACTAGCATGTGAGCTAAAGCTAACGTTAGCTGCTCCCCCAGCTCGTGAACTGATGTCTCCCTGATCACGAGCCGGTAACCGTTAGAGGTCCACGCCGAATAAAACATCTCCTACAAACAAAATAACCCCTGATATTAAAAAGATAAGACAGTAACGGCGGACAAAGCTTACCGGAGCAGCAGCGTCAGTGTGTTTCAGTGAGGATGATGATGCTGGTGTCACTACAGCGAGGTAAATGATCAGCTGACCTTCTGAAGGAAGAGGGGAATTCATCTCGCGATATTTCACAGATTTGATACTTCAGAAACTATACCCCCCTCTAGTGGTCAAAACAGTGACTATAATTCAACCATGAATTTCAACAGGATAAATGGTGTGGGATGACTAAAATCTCTGCATTGGTTACCTGTGTCTTTTAGAGAAGATTTTAAGGTTCTTTTGTTAGTTTTTAAAGCTCTTAATGGTCTTGGTCCTTCTTATCTATCTGATTTGCTTTTACCAAATGAACCCACAAGAGCCCTCAGGTCTTCAGGTAAAAATCTTTTAATTAGGGGTACTGGTGTTGTTTGATGTGTTGGGAAAGATATGTGGTTAATTTCAAATGTTCTTCTCTGTTTCTGTATTCATTGTTTATGTCTTTTTTGAGTGCTTGTCTGTTTGTGACTAAACAGAGAATAATCCCTGCTATGTTTACAGTTCATTGAAGCTTATGTTAATGTGATTAATGAGAGATTTACTACACCATATCTTGTTTTTAGCCCAGTCACGTGTTTATACGAAGCACCTGGGCAGAATGTTTTATTACTAAAAATGAAAAAATAAACTTTCTTAATTTAACTCTTTACAAGTGCATTAAGATTTTTGTTTCAGTTTTGTATGATGAGTGTTTCAAGCCATTTCTAATCATACATTTTTCAATCAATGCTAGAAACAGTCAGAAACCCTGAAATTATACATGTGGAAAAAATGATACCACATTTACACTTAAAGAAATGCAACAAAACGTGTCGTACACCAGTGATTGATTGATTGAAGTTTATTTTGAACATATACAGTATATCAAATAAAATAGCAATAAAAAAGTAAAGAATACAACAACAAGTGACAAAAAGTTATTCAAGTTCAAAAAGGAGTGGGAAGAAGTCGAGACTTAAATAGTCCCACCCCTTCTCCTACACTAATGGTTTAAATGTATTTTTGTAATATTATATAATAATATGAATCATCATAGTAATAACAGCAATAAAAATAATGACCACAGTGAAAATAACAAAATTGATTGTTATGATTTCAAGGGTGGAGATAAATCAGACCTAGTTTGGATAACTAGGTCTAAGATTATTTCAAAATTTACATGTACATCTACAAATAAACATGTAAATAGACATGATATAAATGTCATGTAATGTCACCCAGAGCGTTTTGTGCAGAACGACAAAGTAGTGTTGTGTCCTTTAGTGAACGATTCGTTCAAAAAACTGAATCTTTAAAGTGAACGTACTGAAGCGAATCACTTCCTCGAGTTATTCGTTCGTTTCTCACTTCAGTTGAGCTGAAGAGAGAAACAGCATTACCAGGCCAGCAGCTGGCGAATGAGACATGAACCGACGCCAGAATCACTTGGTGAACGAATCACGCATTGAACTACACTCTCTGGAATCATTTTTGTCGGACAAAACTACCTTTCTTTGTTTTTTTTTCCACTGCTAAATTGCCACCACAACAACATTTACTGAGCAGACCTGATCAATAGCATACCATAGGACAGTGCACTTAAAACATCATGACTTTTGCCCAAGCAACACAGCCAAACACTCTTGTCTTCCAGTCCCAGAAACTATGAATTAAACTGAATCCTGAAACGTTCAGCTGTGTATCAGGTCGAGGTCGCAGGCCTCTCCTGCCAAGCCTTAAGTGATTCGGTGATTTGGTGAACAAATCTTTTGTGCGAATCTTTTTAGTGAACTGATTCTAATGATTTAGTACAGCTAAAAGAACTGCCATGCCCATCACTACGCCAAAGCTGCATAGCTGCTGGGTGTTCATAAGCATCCACAACCAAGAACAAAACTGTAGTGCGCCTGCGCCATCGTCACTGTCCAGATTTTGGAGAAAGGAACAAATTAATATAACCTTTAAGCCACCAAACCACAAGACAGGGATCTCTGGTTTTCTGGTCATTAAAACATCATTTCAAACGAGCATCAACCCTTTTTATCCGAGTGAACTCCCAGTTTTAAAAGTGATAACAGTGGTGATTGAAGAGCTGCCACAAGAGGGCGCACTGTACCAGACTATGAACGCTCCTGCAGGTTGGCCTATAGCCTGTGCTGGATAATTATTTTAGCTTTAAGTGCACCTTATTTGGTCCCAACATGTTTTAAAATCTAACATCTGACTGCTACTGTAGCTCATATATCCGCAGATTATTGGCACGAGTGTCGCAGGATGATGTGTTTGCTGGAGATGCCATTTGAAAATATAGGCAGTGTAAGCACTGTAGAATCTAATTATTTCTTTGCAAAACCTAATTAGGCATTAAAAAAGGTTAACGCCAGCGCCTGAAACGTTTTTGTTTAATAATCCCATTACTGACGGCTCATCATGTATAAAATGGTGCAGGAGGACACTAAGTTTCCACTTGTTAAAGGGAATCTCTGAGAAATAGTCGCAGTTTTTTGACACTATCTGCGTTTGGAAATTAGGTCTGGTAATTAAACAGCGGAGACTCAGCACACACAGCACAGAGTAAGTAGAGCTGCAGCGTCCTGCCGTGCATGCATTTTATATCTTTAATGTGTGATTGTGCTTTCCTGCTGCTGAATATTCTCAATTATCTGTTTTTTTACTTCTCTTTTTAAAAATGTTGGGTAATTTATCGGCCATGGCAGAGAGTGTCGTACAGCGATGATGATTTTTTAAGCGTCAGCTCCTCTCGGACCATCTGCAGTCACCAGAGAGCTGAAGCTGAGAATTTCAATGAGACACAATTTCTGCACGACTTTTAATTCGTGCAGGCTCCTCAGAAGGAGATCCTGGGGAATATTTTCAGATAAAATACATCTCTGAATTAAACATGGAGCAGATTTTGTCGTGTTGCTCACTCTTACAGTCATGCAAAAAAGTCCTCGGTGATGCAGATGGGTACCTGAATCCTCCTAATATAGGCGCAGGGATATAAAAGAGTATAATTTTCTTTTAAATAAGAATCCTAGAATTAAGTCACCTCATGTTTTTAGTCTCCAGTAAAAGCTGATTTATTTGACGATAAAGTCAAAAAGCACCATCAGTTATAAATCATCTTGCACTCTTCTCTGTGGTATTTTATCATTGAAGGTCTGGTTTTCTTCAGATATTGAAGTCGTATTTTAAACAGTAATATTGAAGGATTTTCCTGCATTGTTAATTTTTTTATCCTGCTGAAAAAATTCGCTCAAGTCCAGCAGAAAAGACAGATCACAGAAGAGAAGATTCATAAAATAAATACCCCAAAATAATGATTTTTGCAATATTTTCCATGATAGGAATAGAGGACATATTTGATATTTTATGTCTAAATGATTTTAATGAGCCATATAATTCAAAATACTGGGCTAAAACATGCACTACAGATCATTACAGCAACAGGCCTTATAAAAATGAAATTGGTACTTTTTTCTTTGCGCTCTTTTTCTTGCTGATCCTCCCGAGCTTGAAACAAACAAAGAGGTGAAAGTGAGTGACAGACCAAAGTGAAGCTGTTTTCTGAAAGGACGCGCTTGTAATCGCTCCATCTCCGTCTCTGGATCCTTTCGGTTAAAACAAACAGGGTGTGGTGAGGGAGGAAAATCAGGACAAGCGAGGAAGAGGACGGGAAGAAAGAGGAGAAAAAGAAGGATACGGTGCGTTTTACTCTTAATAGTTCAAGTCACAAAAAAGCGAGTTATCAACAGACTACTTGTGCTTTTATGTCTTTGTGAGCGGATCTTTGGAGGCGTTAGACAAGAGGCACAGATGAGTGTTTCATGAGGAGCTGCAGTGGGAATGGAGTCCTGGGATTTAGAGGACATTCAGGCTGTGTGCGCTTTTATTCACGTATTATCAAGAGGAATAGTAAGGAATAATAATAATTAAACTATAAAGTTGTAATAATTGGTGATCCTCTTACAAAATACAAAGATGTGTTACAACATTTACAGTATGTAACACCTAAAGGGATGTGTGCACAACTTTTTGTTAACTGCAAATGGAGAAAACACGATTTTCTTTTACCCCTGGAAAAATGATCTTTCATATTTTTACTTTTCTGACGCATTAAATTGTTGTAAATCTGATTTGCATTGTGATATCTGCAAGGGTATACATAATACATTTATGTTTATAAACCATGTGCAGTTTTAGACACTCATCTGCTAGTGCAATTCAGTACAATCTCGCACTTATACACTCGTCACTTTACCAAGCTGTACTGTAGTAAATGGCTCTTTAAACACCTTTAAGACATGACACTCTAATTAACACTTTAGCACTTTATAATTCTCTCTTAATCTTTTTGGTCCCCTCACTATTGGTCACTTAGTTTTTGGTCTGTTTATGTATAGTATGTGTATGTTGTCAGTGCATTGTTTTACTGTCTTAGTCATGTTGTTTTTACTTTTATGTTTAACATCAACCTGCCAATGGGACCGGGGAAAGACTGATCCATTTGGTTATAATCCCACATATTTACATGTAAATGTTCATCAATATATACTGTTCCCATTTTTAAAAATAAATAAATAGAAATAGATTTTTAAAAAAAATTGGGTACTGCTTCTCTGAGCTGATCAAACATCATGCATCATTTTCACAGCCCTGTGTGCTGCTTCAGAAAACAAACAAACAAACAAAGAAAGATGATCTAGTTTGGTTATTTAGCTTTTTGATGGGAAACTGACTGTTATTTTAGACATTAATTTAATACAAACATTGGCATAATTTGTTCTTTGTTTCACATTTTGCCATTAAATCAGCTGTTGTGTGTTTGTGCAGGCTGCACTCTCGGCCTCCATACTCTCAGCTTTTTCACTTTTTCCATCCATGCATAGTCCTCAAAGGCTGCTCTCATTCATTAGCTCCTGTACTTCTACATCGCTCTTGCATCTTCCACATATGTGTTCATTTGAAATGGAGAAATTCTTTCATATCAAGCTGTCAGCACCTGCACACCTGTGTCTGCAAATCCCACAGTGAAATCTGTTGATGGGAGTTCTTGTAGGATCATGAAAAAGAAGGTGAGCACTGAAGGTGCATTATTT